AAAATAATAAAGCCGACCTTGCCGACGATCTCGTTACGAAGAGAAAAAAAATCCAATCAAAGCTTACCATAAAAATCACGCAAATCTGCATCGAGATCACGTGTCCGCGGGCATTATCAACAACAACAACAGCAACAACGAAGTCTGCAGCACGCAAGCGTGACCCAACAACGAGGGGTCACGTGTGCATCGTATCATCAAGGGGTTGAGTGCGTGCGTGTGTGTAAGTTCGCTGCGCATCGTGTGTCTAGCGATGTGGCAAATTGGCATCACGCGGCGTCTGCGCATGTTACAAAGTAAACAAATTTTCGTTGGACCATTGATATACGTGCGCTATGTACCGCACGCTAATCTGCCCAAAGTCGTGTTTGCGGTTGGGCTGGAGATCGAGTTAAAATGCACCACCGGGCGCTCGAGACGATGCGGATCAAAATTATTCAAAGCAACTCAGATAATGCAGTGCTTTTCAATTTGACCTGCGATACTTTCTCGCTTTTTTCATTCTCTTGTTCTCACGAGCTATTATCGGATTAAGCAGCGATTTCGATGCGGATATGGGCATGTACGTACTCGTGGTCACTGTAATGAGGCTTTTAATTTTGCAAAGTTTCGCTAAAGTAAGTGACAAAAATAACAATTGCATAATACAGGCTAGCATAAGTTATCCCCACACTTAACCCCTACTTCGCTGAGTTTACATTTTTCGCTCTTGTAGAATTGAACTCGAGATACGCATGTGGCGAGTTAAGTCTTCAAATTATAAACGAGAAAAGGTAAATGCATTATTTGAGTAAACGTAATGAAATAGCGCTGCTTTGAGAACATAAAGTAATGCAATCATACGACGACTGAAATACGTAAAATATATTATTTGCACTTTATTGATGATAATATATAGGAAAGAGCAATAAAAATCATTGAATAAATCGAAAAAGTCTACAAATATATGGGTAAGAAGTAATCAAAACACGAGTGTATATTCATTTCTCCGTGTGGCGAGGAAAAAAAAACGTCGCAAAGATTTACAAGTCGTTATAAAACCGTAGGCCTGTGAAGGAGCATCGTCGTCGGCGCTGCGGCTTTCTAAAGTGTGCTGCTGCTGCTGTTGCTGGCTGTAGCCGGAGCATGACAAATATCCCTCGGTGACTTGGTATTTATAAACACACGCCCTGACGATCTGTTTCAGCGCGCTTACTCTCGTGCATCGCACCTTCTTTTTTACACTTTGCCGTACTTTTGGTGTACGTGCGTGCGTGTGTGTGTGTGCGCGCGCGCGCTTGTTTGTGCATAAGCAGAAAAGAGAAAGTACCGCGCGGTAGTTCATTTGTACAAGTGGTGCAGACGCGCACAGCGACTGCACTTTGAAGTAAGTGCAGCGAGAAAAATGTTTTCCTTTTCATCCCCGACACGTCTCTCTCACCTATGAAATAATAAAAGGCCAGAGAGCGTCGTAAAAGTCGATCGTTGCATAATTTCAATCTGTCAGCGCCAATAAATTTTATCACCTTCGAGCGAATTAAACGTGCGCAGAGCGTGATCCGCTCCGTATATGCCGTGGCTTGCACACGCGTGCGTGCGTGCGTGTTTACAATATATAGCTGTTTATACCCTCATATTCGTTCTCGAGCCCGGCAATATCAAGCCCCGTAAAACTATCTGCAGCAGCAGCAGCAGCCGCGCTCACGATGCGCCCAATTCGCGCACAGCTTGCCAAAGGTATATACTTTTACGACTTTCCGTCGTGCTTAAAAAAAAAAAGGGACGAAAATTAAAGGAGGGCTAGCGAGAGAGTCAAGGTGAATGAGAATCATGATGCGAATCGCGCGCACACACACACACACACACACATATATACATACGCACCGTTACTGTCTCGCTCGCGCGCGACTGCTAGCAGCTCGAGTGCAGATGCTCTCGAAGAAACAGGTTGTTTTCCTGCGCGCCCTGCGCTCGTTTCGCCTCGCTCCACCAAATGCGCTCGAGCAAAAAATAAAACAAACTCGAGCATCTATTAATAAAAATGATAAATCTCGTCGGTCTGTATCATCCCTGATAAAGTGATTAAATAATAATTATATTCGCGTTTACAATTATATTAATAATGTTTAGCAGAGTAAGAAATATTAGTTCCAGACTTTTCATAACACGTTATACAGTATGTTAAATATTTTATTAAGGGTAATGAAACTACTTTCTTCCGTATTTATGCATAAATGAGCAAATGTAAAGAAATATGTTATGGACAATTCTCTGTCATCATTATGTTTTTCATGTCAAAAATAACCCTGAATTTTACCACAATTTCCGGTCTCTTCTGACAAGGAGACTCTCTCACCCTCGGTTCATATATCCATATAAAAATTTTTTTCTACTGATATCTCATGAGGAAACGCCATGTACGTAGTTTTATCCAATAGACCTTTGTCTATTGAACTAGTTGACAAATAAGCATAGATTTTTCCAGAATTGTTGAAACCGTCTGTTACCTTTTTTGAAAAGTGCTCAGTAAAAAACGTCACGTACTCTTTGATTGATTTCAAGACTTGATTTTTCCTGGTATTTTTTCTCTTCAAAAGTCGCTCTTTACCAAGATAAAATATAGCAAATTTTTAAATAAAAAGTAAAATTTTTGTGCCACCGTAAACTAAAGCAAAATTACTTCGGGCTTAACGATTCACAAGAAATTATATTTTAACCCACGTGGTGTGAACTCGGTTTGACCTTGGCTGATAATTTACTGATGCTCTAAGACTTTCCAGTTTTTCACTGAATATGCTCTATTTTGAAAATATTTAGTTCCCAGGACTTATTGAATCAAATCAAGTTGAGGAAATTTCATTGATGGGTATCTATGAAGTCAAGAAAAAATGTTTTCTAAGCTTTGAAAAATCTCCATTTTTAAATTTGGATAACATATTTTAATAAAAAAATGGCATTTTTGTCGTAAATTAACCAATTTTCAGAGGAAAATGTTCCTGAGTTATCTAAACCCTCTAGAACCTAATTGCTATTGCTTCCTCATAGAGGAAGCTTTGTGATGGGCTCCATTTCGGCTTTTTTATAGAGTAATCGTAGGGTATATTTAATGATATTTCTATATACTAGATCGAATTTCTGACACATGTTGGTATGTATGTATGTGTGTGTGTGTGTGTGTGTGTGTGTGTGTGTGTGTGCGGCTGTATGTCTGTGTAGAGTGATTCCTCGATAACGGTAGCACGTATCGTGACGGGGTTTGGCTTATTTTGTTCGTTATTATGTAAGGATGAAGCCAGAAAATTGTATTTAGCGATAAAGGAAGAAAAAAAAATTTTTTTTCGATTTTTAAAAATTTTTGGAAATTTTTTTATGTCTGTGTAGAGTGATTCCTCGATAACGGTAGCACGTATCGTGACGGGGGAGGGCTTTTTTTGTTCGTTATGATGTAAGGATGAAGCCAGAAAATTGTATTTAGCGATAAATGAAGAAAAAAAATTTTTTTTTCGATTTTTAAAAATTTTTTTTTACGGGAAAAATTTTTTTTGCGGGAAATTGTCGTTTTCTTCCTTTTGCTCCCTCATATAGGAAGTTTTGTGATGGGATACATTTAGGCTTTCGTATAATATAATTATCGTAGGATATATTTAATGATATTTCTATATACTAGATCGAATTTTTGACACATTTTGGAATGTATGTGGGTATATGCGGCTGTATGGCTGTGTAGAGTGATTCCTTGATAACGGTAGCACGTATCGTGACGGGGGAGGGCTTATTTTTTTCGTTATGACATAGGGACGAAGCCAGAAAAATTCATTTATCGATAAACGTAACGTTTTTTTTTCTATTTAAGAAAAAAATTTTTTTTTTTTTGCATTGTTTGTTTGAGATACCCGATAAAGCTGAGAGGCGCTTTCGTTTCGCTTTCGTAATTAGAAAGATGATATTAATATTTTCAAATTATTTTTAAGTTAAAAGAAAAGTATGAGGAAGCTACTTGCCAATACATTGCCAGCGGTTTTTTTCATTAAGATAAAGTTTGAAATTGAATCAAGTTGATACAGCCTTTCATTACCGAAAAACATAAAATATAAAATACCTCGTATTATTCTCCTTAATTTTTGTAGAAATTTAAAAATTATTAACATTCATAGATTTGTGATTTGTTAAGTGTACAGGCATCCCTTGATATTCACGGGGGTTACGTTCCTAAAAAGTGCCGCGAATATCAAAACCTTACGCTTATGGAAATTGAGAGTTACATTCATAAAGAACCAAATATATTGTCAAAAATGCATCATACTGAATAAAATAACAGAAAAATTTATATCAAAACTAAATAGTTTTAAAGAAATCTGTTAATCGAGACTGTTTTGATTTTAATTATTAGGATTTCTTCAGTTTCCTCAAGATTATTGTGCCGAAAAATTTTTACCGACATGTTGCCCTAATATCGTAGAGCTATTTCGAATTTTTTCCTCATTTGCTCGAATAGAACGAATAGTTGATTTCTTTACATCGAGTTTTCTAGAAATAGCAGCAACTTCTTCACCATTTCGAAAAAAATTTAGAATTTTAAGTTTGTCTGGCAGAGTATTAAGTTTTTTATTTCTATTAGACGGGGTTTGAGGCTTTTTATAAGCTGTTGCCTTTTCAATTTATATAAATTTACAAAAAAAAATATTTTTAAAGGTTATCAATCAAAATTCTAACGGTTAGTAATGAATATTGCGGGAATTGAAACCACGAAAAATAAAAAACGGTCGCATTTCCAGCAATCGCGAATATCAAAGAATACCTGTATTCAAACTTTGTTTTTACAATTGCTTCCTCATAGAGGAAGCTATGTGATAGACTTGAAAATGAGATTTGGAACTCGACGTCGTAGGAAAATTTAGGTTACATATTTGGAAACTACATTTTTTCAACTTTATTTATTTGAATGATTTGAATGATGTGAAACATTTGTATAATTTAATAGTGCAAGAGACGGAAAAAACTTATAATCATTCCGATCGCAATCACTGAGCCTTTTGACCCTCCACCGCCAAGCAAATATTGAACAAATCTTCGTTGTTCAGATTGTCGATGATCATTTCGCAGCAGAGAATCGGCAATCGGCAGTGAATCAGTTCCATGAAAAGCTCCAGAGCCCAGCTCAAGAAAAATCTTTTCGACATTATCTCGTACAGATGCGCGTGACTAGTCTCTCTGAACCCATAAGACAATTTCCGCAGTTTTTTTTCGTCGCGTATGAGTTCGTAATAGTCCATGTGCGTGAATCGTTTCGCCGCCTCCTTGAGTGGCAACTGGATCAGATCGTGGAGCGTCGTAGAATCCGAATTGTCGTCCTTCACCATCATCTTTTTCGCTTCCTCGGAGAAATGCTCGTCGTCGAGCAAGCGAGTCACGGGATCCACCGTCATCCGGAACAGTCCGAGCTCATCGATGACTCTCATGATCGTCATGGCGTCGCTTCGATACAGTACGTATCCCCTCCTCTCGACACTCTCGGCCAGGGTCAAGAGGCATATCGCAAATATCAACTTCATCTCGGCCGGATAGTTTTTCAACCATTCCAAGCGATAGAAAATCAAGTCGAATTTAAAAACAAAGTTGGACAGATCGGCGCCATGATCCAGGAGAACATCAAAAGTATTCGGTGCGAGACCCATCATGGTCAACTGAAGAGGTGTCTGATCCCAATTGTCTCGCGCATCGATCGATATCCGATGCCGTTGCAATTCGTCGTTGACTCTGAAAAAACTACTCGCCAGGTTCGTGCTTATGGTACGGTCAAGCTCGCATCCCCTGCAAATGACGTGCAGCGGTGTCTCGCCGCTCGCGTTGACCAACGTCGGATCGGCGCCGCGTCTCAGCAGTATCTCGGCCACTTCTGCGTCGGCCGCGCTCAGAGCCAGGTGCAACGGTGTGTTACCCTCGTTGTCCCGAGCGTCGAGCTGGACCGTCGTCCGCCAAGACTCGTCGCAGACAACGTTCAAGAAGTCGTTCACGAACTCCGCGCCGAATTTCCCGTCGCCGATGACGTGCAGAATGGTCCTTCCTTGGGCGTTGGCCAGATTCGGATTGGCGCCCAGTGTCAGCAGCGCAAAGACCGCCTGCAAGCGGTCTATCGAGAACAATCTCAGCACCAAGTGCAGGGCCGTGTCGCCGTTCTTGTCCCGGGCGTTGAAATCGACCGAGCGGCCCACCTCGTGGTAGGTATCGAGGAACTGCGTCAAGTACGAGTCCACGTTTATCTTGCAGGCCTCGTGTAGAGGAGTGGATCCCTCGCCGTTGAGAAAGTTCGGATCGGCGCCCTTTCTCAGCAGCAGCTGGGTCATCGATCGACAGCCTATCTTCGCGGCCACGTGCAGCGGCGTATCGCCCAACCTGTCCTGAGCATTGACCCGCACAGCTCGATTTCTCTGCCCGCAGATTTCGAAGAATAGCTCCGCCAAGAATACATTGTGTTGCATCAAATGCAGAGGAGTCGCTCCATGCTCGTTCGGCGCGTTTGGATCGGCGCCCGCCCTCAGCAGCCACTCGGCCACCCTAGCCTGGTGGTAGTCCGCGCTCGGAGCTGCCAAGCTGCTGCAGACCAGGTGCAACGGCGTGCAGCCCGACTTGTTACGAGCGTCGATCCACTCGGGACCGATTATTATCGCGTCGCGGCTGATCTTGAGCAATACGTAATACCAGAATTCGATGGAAAGTTGATGGACTTCCTTGGCTACGACATGCAGAGACGTCTCGCCCTGGTCGTTGGCCAACGTCGGGTCGGCGCCTCGTATCAGCATCGATCGGGCCACTTCCTCGAAGCGGCTCTGGGTCTGAATCGTTACCGATCCTTCATTGTCGATGTAAGTCCCGCAGACGAGCTGCAAAGATGTCCGTCCCTCCGGGTCGGCCAACATCGGATTGGCACCTTTGGCCAGCAGCAATTCGGCCAAGTTACAGTCCTTGGCCGCGGTCACAGCCAATTGCAGCGGCGTCCAACCCAACTGGTCTCGCGTGTTGACCGGCACCCACAGCTCTCGCTCCTCGCAGGTCTCGAAGAATACCGTAGCCATGTCGAAGGCAAAGCAAGGACGCCGACAGATAACGTGCAGCGGAGTCGAGCCGCCTTTGCCGACCAAGTTCGGATCCGCGCCCGCCCTCAGCAGCGTTTGGACCAGCTCGCCGTTGGTCAGCTCCCTCAGGGCCAAGTGCAGCGGCGGATCAATCCCGGACGCGGTCTGCTCGAGGCAGTTGGGGTCCTGGCCGAGCTCGAGAAATTGCAGGACCACGTTCAAGTAGCCGTACATGCAGGCCTCGTGAAACTGAGTCGGGCCCGACTTTTCGTCAAAGTTGCTGCCGAGTTCGTATCCGAAGAAATCTTTTGCGCCTCCATCGCCGAATCCGTCGCCGGATGTTGACATTGTTTTTTACATATATAGCACTCACTCACAAAAACACAAATCGCTTAGAATGTAAAACTGCTGCTTACACTTGCGCGTCGTACAGCCTACTGACTGCTCTCGCACACTCTACGATCTATGTTTTAGAGAGAAAAAGAAACATGTGGCAACGCCCCTGCTTAGCTGGACTTTCACTTTCTAATCGTTACCAGGTTTGTATAGCGGACACATGGCTCTCAGCTGCAACTGGATTTTCGTAAAAATTTTGTACTTCACGGTGATCCTCAGCGTTTTTGTTAATTTTCTCAAAAGTAGTTAAAATTTATAAATTATACTATGGGGGTCCAGCCCCTCTGCGCGCTTCGCAACCTCCACGGTAATAGTTATTTCTATCTCGTGTAGATATGTTTACATTCAAGAAAGAGAGGTTAAAGGCAGCGCGAGTCGGCCCGCCACTTTGACATGTAGCAGACAGCACAGGCTACACGCATGCGAGCTGCGCGAGTCGTCTCGGCCCGAGTCTGCGGGATCGCATACAGTCGAGGAAAGCAGCGCGCTATGCGGCGACAATTCACACGTCTCCTCGACTGTAAGGGGCCTTCCATTAATTACGTAAGGGTATTTTTCGATATATTTGACCCCTCCCCCCGTCAAGTAAGGGATAGTAAGATTTGACGACCCCCCCCNCCCCCCCCCCCCTCCTCCTTTTATAGTAAGCGTAAGATAAAATATTCTATTTTACATTAAATATTTATTACATTTTTAAAATTCATAACATTTAACATAAATTATACTTAAATTTATAAAAAATTAGAATAAAACATCTTTTTTAAAAATAAGAAACACTTAATTCTAATCTTCGATCCAATCACATATCAGCCACTCTTTTATGTTTTTAATAACTGGTAAATCTTGTACCGGTACAGGCTCTTGATTATTTACAGTTACATCCATTGCGATAAACTGCTCAATATCACACCATTCGGCATCTTGATGATCGTCTACATTTATAATGCACAAAGCCTCATTTTCACGTTGCGTAATAACTTGTGCTTTAATTTTTTTATTGATTATTTTCCCCGGACACTTAGGATGAATGATTTTGCGATGGTTGACTGCATTTTTCATGGTAGCGAAATAGATGTCACAGAATGAACATGTTCTATCCATTAAACTATCTCTCACACTAAGACAGTGGTAATCATAAGGTAATTCACAAAAGTTCGGATCGTCGCACGATATTTGTATGGACAACCTTTGGAAGAGAGGAAGGAAAAAGTCTCTTTCGTATCTGTTGTTGGGTCGGCTAAAGTGAGACGTCCATCTTTCTGTCTTTTTAGCAATAGGGGCGGAGAAAGAAAACGATCCTTTAATATTATATTAATATCGCTTTTGAAATCGGAGCAACAGTTTCGGTCATCACACTTTACAATCTGCAAATGTCAAAATAAATTTTTAACCAGCATAAATAAAACACACATTTGTTTTTGCAGTCGCAAAAAAATTAACTTACCTGTAAAAAGTATTGAGACTCGCAAACGTGCTCTTTATGCCAAGCCCAATTCGTTTCAAGAACGGGCTCTAATATTTCATCGTCAGAAATAAATTTGGCAGTGACTGGGTAATTATCAATTACCATTTGAGACCATATTTCTCCAAGTACTTCACCAGCTTTAGAAAAATTTTTCTTTTCTAGGTCTTCGTCGATTGTTACTTTTCTTGCGTCTAAATGATCGCCATAGTAATTGTGCGGTAGAATAATGCCACTCAGGGCCCTGCTTAATGGCGCCATACGTCTTTCAACACGATTAAATGCCGAACGCCCAGGGGCAAAAACATTGGCAGAAGAGGTCTTAATTAATTAATATTTTTTTCGCGCGAAACACACTCTGCTTTTCAGAGCATGTTTGTATACACTTGCGTTATTATAGGCTGTTTTCACAGTCGTCAGTGACGGTCAAAAATCGACAAAACGCTGATTTGTTAAAGTTGGTTGGTAAAAGTACTTATAATTAGTTTAACGCTCAGTAAAAAAATAAACAAAAAATATCTGGCGAAAGCCGAAATCCTCGTGTATCGAAATATCGAAGCGGTTTTTAGTTAAAGTCTTTAGATTGTAAATAAAAAAATATTGAAATTTCGGCTTTTTCGTCTGTGATATTGTCAATAAACTCTAATAAAATAGTTATTAAAAGTGGTTTTTTGGGTTGCAATATAAACTCTCAAGCGGGGAAGTTTTTATTCTTTCAAATTACCAATGAAAAACTAAAAAACAATCGTAATTTCGAAAAATTATGGAAATGATCTCGCAATCGTCTTCCAACCCAAGTCTGCTGTTGGTGGAAAGATAATATTCTTAATTACGATTGTTTCTGAGTTTTTCTTTGGTAATTTGAAAGAATAAAAACTTCCCCGCTTGAGAGTTTATATTGCAACCCAAAAAACCACTTTTAATAACTATTTTATTAGAGTTTATTGACAATATCACAGACGAAAAAGCCGAAATTTCAATATTTTTTTATTTACAATCTAAAGACTTTAACTAAAAACCGCTTCGATATTTCGATACACGAGGATTTCGGCTTTCGCCAGATATTTTTTGTTCATTTTTTTACTGAGCGTTAAACTAATTATAACCAACCAACTTTAACAAGTAAAGTATACGGGCGGTCGCTTTGTTTGGCCTCCAGTCAAATCAGCTGGTCGATTTTTGACCGTCACTGACGACTATGAAAACAGCCTATTGAATTGCTCGAATTCTATTTTCGAGTTTGAAATTATTTTAGTTTTTTAATGAAGACTTGATACGAATTATTTAGAAAAATATTTTCGCAACTGTCGGTATAATGATCACTAAATATAATGACAATCCGTAATGGGTCGCTCGTAGATCCATAATTTTTGAAATGCTACCAAAAAACTTGTATTCGTCAATACACGCACACAAGATGCGGTCACGCGACGCGAAGATGATTTTCGTCTCTTCCATTTTCACCAGATCATCATCCTTGAGGGCGTGTATATAATGTTTTGAACGATTTATTGCGCGCTGATTTGTGCCCTCTACTCCATTACCTATCGCTACTGCTGGCTTCTACGGCTAATGCTGCTAACTAGTTGCAGCCGCACAAATTTTTATTTAATATTGATCAAGTTCGACGTAAAAGTAACGAGTTCATAGTAAATATTTGGCGCATTCACGTGCATGCGACGAACCATTTGCTAGTTGTTTGTCGGCAAGCCAACGCGACAGACATAATTAAGTCAAGGAATTATCCTGTAATATCAATCTCAATCTTTTTTATTAAAATATTTTTCTGTTGTTTATAAGTCTGCAAGTATGCACGATAGCATGTATATATCGAATCGGTGCACTCCTTTTTTGCGTAATATACGAAAGGTGTACTGCATCCGTAGTCTCACAATTTGCATACACGAGCAACTTCATGTGCATGCATTATATTATATAAAGTGTACACGTTGGGTGACTCTGCCTCGAAGAATATCATCAAGATTAAACAGGAGCTTCAAAATCGGTATCTCTATACGATAGCAATTTCCTCGCGTGTACGCGTTTATTAGGAAGTGAAGGAAGATAGATCGCAATCGGCTTATTATTATTGCTCTTGCGCTCGGATCTCAATGAACTTTAAGAATATGACGCGAGTATCCGGCCAACCACGCCTACCTCCGATCCTTTGAATTCACCTGCTTCGCGAGTCTTAGCGCAATATTTTCAAGCGAATATCACGTAACTTTTTTTACGCACACCTCAAATAAATCGCACTCAAACATCGTGGAAATACATGCAAAGATACGAATCCGTTTTGTACAATTAATTTGCCATGACTGCTAATGCATGAATAACACATTGTAAAAAATGAAAAATAACTAATTTGCATCGATTTCGGCATTCTAAACTGAAAATAAGATTTGTATCGTTTGTAGAAAATGCGATTATTTTACAATTGATAAATTCAATCGAATTATACTGGTTGTACTATGCATACAATACCAATTACTGTGATTATGACTCGAGGGTAATTGCAATACTATGACAGTATTGTTCATTTGAAGAAAAACTCATGCCAGAAATTCGAGGGAAAAATCGTGTTCATAATACGTATGGTTCGCACACACACACGTATGCATACATGCAGTAGTATCATCAGCACGCGAACTTCGACGTGTACTCAACCAATAATGCGCGGTAGCTATGAGTATATACGAGCAATTTTTACGGAGAATATGTGAGCGGCTCCTGCTCGTAACAATATTTGCATCGCATCGTGTCGGTTCCACACATGTACCTACGTTAACTTGTAATGAAAGTAACGTTTTTTTAGGCATGTACTGCATTGCGAGCGCTATGAACAAGAATATGTTTGGTATAATACCACGAATCATGCAAAAGACAATTTGAATAAATCTGCATGATTATATTCATTCTTAGCATGGTTTTACCCTTGCATTGTAATCATCATATAATCCGTGACTTGTATGATACCCAAGAAATTATGTGATTACATGTAAGAAGTAGAAGATAGCTGCAATCGAAGTACTGAAATTCTTCTAGTTGATGAATCTTTGTAAACTGATTCTACATATGAAATTTGAAAAGTACATCTCACAATCCAAGTGATAAAATGATATTATGCAAGCTATAACCTAATTGTTAGAAAAATTTTTTTGATACATAATTTCATTGGTAATAAAAATAGAATAATAGTACATTTGAAGAGCTTTTCATACCTTTTACATAGAGCACAAAAAAGTATATAAAAAACTTCACTTGTTTACATAATGTACTGCAGCTGTCGTAACGTAACTGAAAAAATCATTTTTAACACTGCGTGCGCGAAACACGGGTTTTCTAACCTTAAAGCGTCAGAAAACCCTAGTTTCTCGCAAGCAGAGTTAAAAAATATCGTTTGCAACTAGTCCGCGAGGAAGTTGACTCATCCAGGAGTCTTTGCACCCTCGCTACGCTCGGGTGAAAACAACTCCTGGATGAGTCAACTGCTTCGCGCACTTGTTACAAAATATACTATATCGTATAATTTCTTTGCGACTTCAGTTATTGACTGAAATTTTGCATAATGATGGTGTCTATACAAATAGTCACTTATAAATCTGCCTGCTAAAACTATAAGGGACAAATTATTTGTGACAGAAAAATGTTTCTTAAATTTCTGTCAGTCAAATTATTTCTATTTTACTATCTTCGAAGATTGTTGCAAAAAATGACACCCACGTAACTGCAATTTTGACTTACAAAGAACTGAACTTTTGGTGCTTTTAAAAGTATAATTTTTCTCTTCCCAAATATTTTGAAATGTTTGTTTTTATTGATTAAAGTGTAAAATTATAATTTTTTCGAGTAGGAGTGTAAGTGTGATTTTTTTGCCAAAAATAATTGACGACATATATTTTTCATAGGCGGTTCGTAAATTTATGAAAAGTCTCTGAAAGTTATACATAAATCTGATCGCCATTGGGGAGTTCCCTACAACCGAAATAAAAAATTTGATTTAATCTTAAACCAAAGATTTTCAAATAAAAAATGATCAAGTAACTAGCATAGTCTGTGCTAGCAACTGATATGTTTACTTTCAACAATGTGTATTTAAATGATAGTTCCCATAAATATTAACAATCATATTATTAATTATTAAATTATTAGAAACTTTTCGGTACGATAATATTTGGAAATAATAAAGTTGAAAATGTGAAAAAGACTCATTTTGCGTAAAAACTGATGAAATATATATTTGATTCTTTGATGTTTTGTCAAAGTAATTATTAGCGTCGAATTAACAGTTTCAAATAAAAAATAAAAAAAGAATAATTTTGTAATAGATCGCAAAGAGATTTTCATATTTCTTGTAGTAGTACGCCATCTATCGAAAAAATATACACAAAGTATCAGCATATGATAAAATTATATGACATGTGTGATTATTTTTGGTCGGTAAGATAGATTCCTTAGTTTTTTACTGCTTGGTAGTTTGTAACCGACTCACGGTTATTTTGAATTTGATCATGTCTTTCATCGATGAAACTTTTTAAAATATTTTATAACGTTCTATCTGGATTATTTCAAGCGATGCAAATTTCTTCTTATGTGAAATCTCTTGTGAAATCTCTTGTGAGGAGTTCCAGTAGGATGATAGTAAAATCACCTCTATGACTCCTACTCACTCTTATGTTTTCTTAATATGTCTTGCTTGAACTTAAAGGATTTGTTCTAAAAATGGGGTTCCAAAATAAATTAATGAATTTTCTTAGCTTATATTGCGACTATGTATTTAAACAAATATTATTTGTACACATTTTGCATTTATTCATGGTTCTCTTTTTTATCCTCAATAAGAATTAGATCACAAATGTTCTACAAAATATCAATCTCACAGATAAACATCATACTGACTAAATTATTTACGTGAAAGTCTTAAGCTATTAATTAGGAATTAAAGTACTTAATGACAGATTTCTCCTTGGATTTGTGTTAAGAAAATAGAATAGAAACATGTGGAGCATAACAAATCAATCCAATCAGCGATGTAAGTTACAGCGTATTGTTGTACATAAAAATGCGGTAATCAATTAAATTATTAAAATTTTTCTTCGTAAAATTTATTGTGACGATCAACATCTAACACTTGATATTTTAATATTTATATATATGTGCTATTATGTATACGTATATTTATTAAATAATAATCATTATATAAATAGATTTATGTATGCATATCGTTTTTGCCTATATTAGATAAATATATTTAACTTACAAGTGTCTTAAACTTATTAAGGGCTTCCTTTCCCAACGAAATCAGATCACCACTAGTGCAATCTAATCATTTCGCTAATTTCTTATCGTCTAACTACATCATAAAGTATACTACTATATTATTCTATAGTTTAAAAGCCAGCTTTAGATTTAATGATTCTTTATAAGAGTGGATGAATAATGAAATTGATATTTTTGTGATATTTTTTCTTATTCCGAATAGCTCTTTGATACATGCAGTCGCTATATTGTTCTTAATGACAACTTATAACGCTCGCATTTAACTTCAAACTATTAGTTCTTAGAGGAATTAAAATTATTTTTTTAGACATTACTATGCTAAGCTATAAAACATAGTGTATGGCCGATTCATTATAAATTGAATGTTCAAAAAACTTTTATTTTTTTTTGGCTGACATGATACTCATGCAAGTGGTCATCTCAAAAATCACATCTAATTTTGTTACATTTCAAAAAATCTTAGCTCAAACTTGAATGACTAAGACAGAAATAGAAGAAAATCAAATGTTCGAACATAATGTAATCGGCGAAATTTCTGTAAAATCAAATTATCCAAAACAAATTTGTTCTCAACTTAATGTTGTTTATGACAGAAGTCCCATGACACCGAATTTTCTTGTATTAAAAAAGATTATTTTTTCAGTGCTAGATAATTATTTTACTTTTTGAGATTTATTTAAAGCAAGTTTTTAATGATTGTTTACGGATTTTTTTCTTGCTAGTTAGCAAACTTTAACAGAATTAAAGATGATTTTTGACCAGTCGAATTACATAGACATCATGTCAAGCAAAATAGTAATTTTCGATACAAGTGCCATAAGTAACACTTTTTGGCACGGCGTAGTTTAGGGCCCGAGCGCAGCGAGGGTCCTAATAGCTGGGCCGAAAAGTGTCCCCTATGGCCCGAGTATCGAACAACGTTTTATAGTACTGTGCAAAGTTCACATTTATGCCCCCTTTTCCGATGCATAAGTCGCACTTTCTGGTAGCGCGAAGTGAGGTTAGCGCACGAGCGTATGCGAGTGTGATGCGAACGCAGCGGTGCCAGAATGTGCGACTTATGCCACCGAAAAGCGTGCCATAGATGTGAACTTATGCCACGCAGTGCTATAAAATAGTTTTCAAATTGTTTGATTTGACTGAGAATGAGCCATGTGTAATCAAACAAAAATTCGGATTTTTTTGAACATCAAACTCAAAAATACGGTAATCACTGCTTATGTTTTAATGTTTCAGGGATAACTTCCAATTTCTCGGTATTTTTATTGATTTTCAGGGAAAAAGCATATTTTGATGCATCTTAACTTTTATTATTATTATTTTGAATCATTTATTCATATAAAAATTGTTAACTCAAAAATGTATTGGCACTATACAGCTTTATAAAGAAGAAATATTCAATTCGTGCCCTGTCAAAAAATATTTAGAACAATAAAATTCCAAAAAATTCTTTATACTATTTCTAACTTAATATTAGTTATTACATTAAATATTTAAGTGTTAAGAGCATTCACTTACTGCACTATAAGTATCATGTTTGTACTTGAGGTGCTACAAAATTTTTTAGCGCATAAAGTCAGCGCATTGTTCATACTTTTTGTCATTAAAATTTACTTCTTCCCTAAAAATCAACAGTTAAATATCTAAACATCATCAAAATTTCGTATTAATAATTTTTAATTTTATTCAAGGATCTTCCTGAAACATTTAAGTATTTATAGATTATCATGTAATTTTAACACCATTACTTATTAATACCATAACAATTACTAAAAAAAGTAGTAAGTATTGATAGAAAATAAATAAATTCTTTTTTATGCATTTTGTTTCTCATACATATTCAATAATTATAATTAATAATATCATTCAAAATAAAATTAAATCATTCTAAATGGCAATGAATTTACAAAATAATCTATCATAATAGGAACTAAGTGTAAGAATTAACTGAGTATTATCGAAACAAATAATTTTTTTTCTTGAATAATTGAAATGAATCTCAAACGATAAAAGTATGCTTCATCATTTCACTAAAATGTCAGCCCCTAAACGCTTGAAACTCTATTTTCATCTGATGTTCAATATCATATCATTTAACAGCTCAAATGTATCATTAAAAATATATCCTGAAATAAAAAATCAACTAACTTTGCAAATCTAACTTAAAACTTATAAAAATACAAATTCACCATCCATTCACCATCAAATGTTCTCTTGATAGACAATAAATACGTAACCTTAGGTATTTACCCTTAACTTATTTACGCACAAAAAGCTTAAAAAAACTATGAAATGAAATCAAAGTTTCATGCATATGAAAAATTCATAAGTGCTTACTTTGGAAGTCATGTTTCGATTATTCATCCATAATCAGATATTCTAATGATATCGCATTAAAAATCAGATAAGAGTTAGTAGTTTCGGGGATCAATCATTCACCCTATTCAAGTATATCCAATTGAATTTTCAGATTTTTCATATTGATAAATATACTATGCATTTAGTACATCATATCATCTACAATACAATCAAAAAATTTTTTTATAAATATTTTTCTATTGGTTGTGAAAGTACTTGATTATTGTATATATTTACAGTGTATAAGTAAGTCTGATAGACCGATTGTCAAAGTGGATACAATGTATGTTTAGAAGCAGAAGCATAGATCGGTGGATAATTTTCTTTAGAAAAATTAAAAAATTCTTATAAGCAGCAAAAAACAAATAAATTTCTTTGATTTTATAAGAATTTGAAGTTCGAAAGGATACTTAAATTTTTTTTTTAATTCTTCATACCTTTAAAATCTTTTTTGAGAGTTGAACTATTTCTTTTGCCTGCTATAATGCAGCTATTTGTACAATCATTTGCTGCCTACTTTGCTTATAAATATTTTCCTTTCATAAATATTTCATGAAATTTGGTGTTTTTACACAAATCTGTTTTTGTAAAGCAGCGAACTTGTTCGATCCACTAGTGGTTAAAATCATAATCTTAGCTACTATAAGCTAGTTACTAACATACTTTTGAAAGCTATTATTTAAAATAATAGTACTTTACGATGCGATTGATAAAAGTAACATTTTATGACATGGCCATAAGGATTCTCTACGCTAAGTCCCTAAACGACGCAGAGCCGTAAGGAATTAGTTACAACTCTTGCATCGAAAAGTGCTATATTGAACTCGAATGTTGTACCAATTCACGAATGAGCTAAATCAAGGATTTGTGCAGATAACTTATTTCATCAGGCAAAAGTAGTTTACTTAACTGTCAAAAAAGGTTTCAAAAAGGAAGAAATATCCTAAACTATAAAAACCATTTTTTCCAAAAACTTTTGCTCTCTTTAATTCATAAAGTATATTATCACAACCACGTAAGTTTTTCAGAATTTGAAGTACTTCAAATTCAGTTATATTGAAATTTTTTTCGTGGTAAAACTCATCGACAAAACAAAAGCACTTGAAATTGTCAATTCTTGACGTTTCTGATACTTCATCATTTTATGCTTTATGTAGTAACATATGTACTAAAGACTTTTTATATGGGAAGAACATTGTCATTTTGCATTTTTTCGCAATAGATTAGGCTCTGATGTACATATTCTTTTAGATATTATCAGGTAGAACACGATTATGTGATTAGAAAATACAATAGATCTTTCACAAGGTTTATAACAATTTCATAGTTCTAGTAGAAAAAGGCGCAGTTTTCATTGTCTCTTAAAATCATTATCATAGAAGTACAATCTATATATAATAAGATTTATGTATGATGTGAAAAGGAGGATAGCTTTTGTTTTTTTATAGTTATTCGAATAGACGAATATACGTTGATCTACATTATACTCAATATGTCTTCCTCCCTTATTGTAGGCCGTGATTCAATTTTTAGAGATGTTTTATTTGTATATTTACTTGTTTTTTTTTGCGATTTTTGACCGAAGATTCATCGCAATCGCAAAGAAAATTGCTAAATTAATTTTAATTGAAAGACTAAACCAAGACGATAAATTTACTTTATACATTATTAAAACTAAGTAATTCATTTGCAACTCATCCATTGATCTGAAATAATTATCTTTTCTACTGTATTGTAGAAAATTATTTTTCAATGATGAATTGACAAAAAGATTGTATATAAGTAACATCCGTAAACTTCATACATACTAAAACATGTAAAACAGCAATATAAATTTTTTACGCTCGATAAATTTTGCTCTTTATTTACTTATTTGAGTTCAATTATTATATTGTTTTTGGAGTGAAACAAAGCTTTTGAGTTTTTCTAAACTTTAGGCGGGTCAAAAGCGAAATTCACCATTCTTTTTAATTTTTTGCCCATCAATTCGCATATTTTATAATATTTATGAGTAAAATTAATTTTTTAAACTTGTAATTAAATGATCGCTTGTATAATGTGCTTAAAGTTGGTTCTAATCGCCCAACTTCTTTCTGAAATTTTAAAAAACTTGAGATCAAATAAATTTAGTTTACTCATTTTAGTTGATATATCAACTACAAAATAATTGTATAATTTCTAAACATCGATAAATTACTGATACACCATTTTTTCTAAGAAGTAATTTTCAAATATTGGCCAATAATATTTGCCTTTATGAAATCAGTAATTTCATCCTCCTTTTAGGAACTCGACCAGCAAGTACCGAGGACCAAAATTTTAACGACGACTCTTAAGTATAAATATATATTTACTAAAAATAAATTCGATGAAAGTCGAAGCATTTGTACGTATAGTTATTTAAAATTCTGACATCTTTCAAGTTAGGCCTCATTCACAATAGTTGAAATGGAATACATCGGTAATCGCTTCAACCCAGTCATTAACCGATTATTTACGAACTTTTTTGTTGTTTATTTGGTTATTCAATTTATAAAGCTATTTGTGAGCGACGGCAGAAAATGTATTGTTCTCTCGTGCGATGATCAGTCGAATCCCCCTTGGCTGGATCAACCAGCAAATTTATGATGCAGTTAAGCATCAGATGTCGATTGAACATCGCAAGTTTGTACATTCTGGATTAACATGTTAATCATCATCAATTTTTAGGAATTAATTCCAATATTATCGGGAAAAATGGACTCATTTTTTGCATGTGACTTAAAAATGCATCTTTTATTCTTCTACGCGTTCGCTTAAATCACCCTGATTGAATTTTTAGGAAATAAAACTTTTTCACTAAAATACGTTATATCCGGATTTGGCTGTCGCACCCTTGCCTGTGATGATTATTTAGTATTCTAGTGTCTATTCGGCGACAAAAATAACATATAATATTATTGTCTGCGCTGAAGCGAACACAATATACATAGATATACAAATATAATTTATTTTGGTCGCCAAAATGACAATATATAGTATTGTTCTCTCGTTGTTACATACAACGACAGTATTACTGCCGGAATAAAAAAACTAAAAACGCTACATTCATAATTTTTATGCTCGATTTCTTTAATAAATATTTGATAGAATCTCGTTATTAGATGTTAAGAGTAGAAAAATTAAAAATAAAAATGTTCTATACTTATTAAGTTGGTTTTCTCTGAACATGCATAGTCTTCTACAGATGAATTTCTCGGTGGCGGACAGTTAGTCTTCGAATCTACTAGGCCGATCTTTACGAAATTTAGCACACTTCTTTATCATTAATCAAATGTTGGTATATTATTCTGTCTTATAATTTAATGAAGAAGTGTGTAAAATTTGGTAAGGATCGTTCGAATAGATCCTTAGATAAACAATCCGCCAGTCAAAAAACATCTTATCGAGAAAAACGCGTTTTCAATTGCACGGTTTACGCGCTTGCGCTTAATCCTTAAATTGATTCTAGATAATTCTAGAAAGAATAAAAAATTCAAAAATGCAACAGAAAAACTGACTCTTTGAAGATTCATTTCGGTACTGGCCTAATAAACCTTTAATATGCCATGTCTAAAGAACACTAAAAGTACTTTAAAAATGTATCTTTACTTTAAAAATGTATCTTTGAATAAGCACTATAAAATAAAATGAGACTTTATGCAAATAAGTTTACAAATAATAGTCAATCCCTTACTTTTTCTCGATTCTTAAAGTATTTCGTTGTCATCCATTTAGTATTGTCAACGCTTGAAACTTGTTGAAGAGACCGAACACATTAATTTAGGCTTTTATGAATTTGTTACCAATCGAATGAGACGAGCATCTAGGGTGAAATTTTGATGCAGGTAAAAAATATCGTGTATCTACGGTCTAGGTTCAAGGTAAGGTCGAACTAAATTAATTCATAACTACAACGCGATTTCATCGAAAGGCAAGGGTGAAATGAACATGTTAGCGCATAAAGTAAATCAGTAGACAAGCGCTGCTATTAGAGACACGTAGACAAATCAAGAGACAAATTTGACGACGGACTCGTTCTCGTCCTTGAGTAAAAGACTCAGTCTGAGATCGAGTTCGCCGGCTTCGAGAGCCCATTTTTCCCGCAACCATCAAGGAGAGTCAGCAGTTTGGGTGCCAAGCGTGTGAATGGGGAAAAGACGATACCAGCCGATGGTCAATCTCGTCAATGCCAAAGAATCGAGTTCGATCTCAGCCCCACCCAGGCCCTGATTGCTCTCGAAACCCTGCTTCTTTTCCCAAAGCATAACCAGCAAATTGCGCCCGAGCGCGTCACAGCTCGGATACTTGAGCGTCTGGCGGAACTGGGGATTGCGCGAGTGCCGCACCACCCGCGTCTTGCGCTTGTGCAACCAGCGCTCCTCTGCTCGTAGATAAGTTTTTATGTAAGTATCTGAAACAAGTCATAGGAATAACTGAATGAGCGTCCATAACAAAGTACAAATAAAATACTATGAAAACAGGGCTCCAAAATCAATTTATGAGCTTGTCAACTAGTATATTAACCCTATAATTTAGCGCAAAATTTAAAGAAACTAGATTTAAAACGAAGAAAATAGCATTTAAATTTTTACCCGGCTCTTCAGCATCTTGTTGGCAGATATCTTTGGCAGAAATCACTTCAACCTCAAGATTGCCTTTGCTTAAAAAAATGGCTAGCTGAACTTTACCATTATTTTGTCCTAAAAATAAATTTAATTATTCAAGTTTGATGTTACAATGTTTCATTACTCAAATAGTGTTTCTATAAACTCCCACCTTTTGGCACTTTATAGCATTTAGGAGCAATCTGTCCGGGTCCAAGATCTAAATCAAGTCCATTTTCCGTCTTCATTGACTGACTGTAAAATCGTTGAATGATTTCAAAAATTAATTATAACAAAATCATTTTTCTTTATACTTGAAATTCTTACTTCCATTTCTCCTCCTCATCTGATTCGCTATTCATACGATCATAATCGTAATGTCTTTTCATTTCCAGAACGCTGCTCTCTCTACGGTCTGTTCTTCCTATGAACAATTTATATCATGTATTAGTAATGGCTAAGTATACTTTTAGCTTTATAGAATTCGTAAAAGTTATGTGCAAACTTTTATTCCGAAAAAATTGATTGAATCCTTATTATAATCTCTGTTTGAATGAAGCATCATTTGCCAGTTCTATACAAACTATTACGATATTGTAATAATGACAATTAATAAGCGCGATGCATTAAATATAGCTTTGTCGAAAAAAGTTTCTATACTTTTAATTTCAACGAAATTTTTCTCAGATATTAAAATAAAAAATATAGTAATGATAATATGAATAGGTGTAAATTTAAATCAAGTTTATTTTGTTGTAATGATATTTAATAAATGAGACGGTGACACAATTTTTATATATCATTGATTTTTGTAACTAGTTTGGTACTTTAAAATCATTATATGATATTATTTAATATGTGATTAAGCTATCTTTATTTGTCTCAATATGCAAATTCTAAATTTTTACATAGTAACTATAGCTAACTACATTACTATTTAATCGCTATACATATAAACATGTACTATTATCGATTAAGTTTTTATCTGTAAAAACAATAATGAAATACATTAATACTCAAGGTGCTAATAATCTAACATTCGAATGCATAGGTACCTCTAAACTAAGTGATAATAAACTAATTATTTATCCTGTGAATATTAATTTAAAAATGCGGAAATTAAACATTCATATGAAAAATGATATTTTATTGTACTATAAGCTTACCTTACATGGAAGTATTATTGATAATTTGCCAAATTATCACAGAATTAAAAAATAATGAAACAAAGTTTCAAATAGTCTTACGTTTATTAGTTCAATCAAGTATTTTCGATACATAAAAATTGTGTTCAACCATAATTTTTCAATCAAATGATCATGGATATTAACTGTACGAAAAAATAAAAGGCTTGGATACACAAAGAAATTAATAACTTACAAAAAAATTAAAACCACAAAGATTAGGCAGTGCATATTATATGTAGTTATATATATATATATATTTTAAATTTAGCATAGATCATAGCGTAAATAAACTTGAGAACAAGTTTACCATCACGAAGCTACGTTATTATGAGTTCAAGAGCTTCCACAAAATAAAGTTAATGAAAATAAATAAGGTCTCTAAACTAAGCTCTACAATTTATTAACATCATCGAGCCATCACATCTACATTGCTAGAATTTAAACTATTTTTTCAAACTTTTCATGAACAAAAAGAAAACACTTTCATTATCATATACTAAACTTCTCTTTATGTAATTTATTGAAAAGTAGCTTTCAATTTTGGCTCGAAGATTTTACTCTTACCGAAACAATAACAGCAGCTAGCAATATATCTGTAGAACATCTGCAAAATTAGCTGAATACATGTACGATTATAATGGAAGAGTTGAGCAAAAAAGTATATTGTATTAAGTTTTTTTTATTATTGAGAGGAGATAAATGTAATAGGTAAAAATATTATGCATATGCTAAACAATAAAACGCTTGTAAAATCTGACATAATAGGTAAACTGTACGTGTGTACTTAGGAAAAATATATAAACATAAATAAGTAAAACGATAAAAGTTTCCTGAAACATCTATAAACAGAAAATTATTATAGTTTAAAACTCGATGTTTAATTTTTTTACTCTTATACGATTTCTTTATGTATTTCTTTATCCTTATTTTTCAAATATATTATAACTAATATTGTTATTATTATTTTTATTATTATTGTTATTCATTCACACGCAAAAATGTTTTCAACTTCAGATAGAAATTTGATTCAACAACTAATCAGATAAATTGATATTTTTGCTATAAGTATCTAAAATTTACAAAACGTTCAAACACTCATATAATAATACATCTGTAAAAAAGAAAATTACATCGTCGACTATGAATGCAAAGCTTATGAGTTAGATAATGTTAAAAAGATAAGTAGATAAATCTGGATAATAAAAAGTTTTTTCATCAATATTTTTTTCTGAATAAAATTACAAATAATCAATCTTTTTTCATTAAAAATAATCTTCTGTACATTGCATGAAAAGACAAAAAATATCAAGAGTTGAGGATACAAGTCGGGAATGACTAAAAGTTGGATGAGGGATTTAAAAAAAAGATAGAAAGTCAGATAAAAAGAGAAAAAGAGAGAATAAGAGAAGAGAAAAGAAAGTGAATCTTACCAGATGCCCTCAGCGTCGCTCGTAATTGACTTGCCAGTGTAATTTATCGGGGTGTAGCGTGCGGTGAAGGGAAGGAGGCCGATTTAGCGGTCCTCGGAGAAACAGGCTCGCACTGCCACACAGTTACTGTCGGGACTACAATGGACGCTGCCGACGTTTTGCAATTTTTGTTTTGTTTGGTTTTCTTTTCGTCATATCAGTTTTTTTTCATGATATAATGTCATTGCCAGGTCAGTCCATCACCGTTTTATAATAATGATGATGATATAATAGTGATTACATTCCGTTCATAATAATGGACAATAGAATAATGCGGATCGATGGTTTTCAGACGTTTAACGGTAGATATATGGTGTCACAGTGGTTCAGTAAATAGTTAGAATTACAGAATGTATGTATATTCTTTATTTGAGGTTCGCATCGCGTATTACGACCGAGCGAACACCGCATGTAATAGCGCAACAGTAGAAAGATACACTGAATGAGGATTCATGATTTTTGATTGAATGCACATATGCAACGAATGCACCTTGTTTGAGAACGACGTAAGTGAGTAAGTCAGCGAGAAAATGATAAACTTCTCGATTTAATTGATTTTTAGACATTCGTCAAAAATAATTGACGATAACAACATAAATACAGATAGATGCAATCAAGTTTAAGATACAGTGATAAAGAGAAAAGAAAACAGCGTCTAAAAGTTTTTTTATAGAGCGACAGGACGTAAAAGTGTTGTAAAATGAAAAATTTTTTTTCATAGTAAACATTCAAATTATCTACACTCAATACATTGATTTTCATTTAAATTCATTTTAATACATATCTACATATGTGAAGATATGGGTAATTATCAAATAAGGAGGAAAACTAGATGTTTCGACTCGTACAAATATCTGATGGTCCAATTAAATTATTTGAGTGCATTTTCTGTATGTCTACTACTTTTTTATAATTTTCCCATGTTTACCGAACCAAAATAACGCATGTCACGCATTGTAACGCATTGTAAGGAGCATAAGTAATTATTATGAAAAATTAATTAGATCATCGATAGCTTTCAAAAAAAAATCAGTAATGACACCTGTGAGAAGATCAACTCAAGTTCAGTTTAAAAAAAGTAAGAGGATCCATAATTGTTGAAAAAAAAAACAAAGGATAGAATTCGAAGATATCGAGAAAAATAAGATTTCTATCAATGTACATTTACTGACCGATCAACTCTTTACATTAGTCATATTATGTTAATTTTACTATCAATGAAAATGGCGTTATTAAGTCACTATTGTAATACTTGTTTTTTAGTTTTTATTAGATATTAGATAACATATTGATATTTTATTTTCGTGTAGTTTAATCATTAAAACTTTTTTCTATCTTCAATTTCAAATCAAATAATATATATCACCTACTTTATTTTTAAATTTACTTAGTCCCAAATAGTTATAGAGATATTTTATTTTTTTGATAATTACCCATATTCAATCAGTAAGTTTTTTGCCTGACTTGGTTATTTATACCCCTTATAATTATATTCATTTAAATTACGAAAGTTCAAAGAGATTTTATATTTCAAAAGTAAATTCAATAGATGAATAACTAGTCAGTATATTTTAAAGTGGAAAATCAACTTTACTGCGCGCATTATAAATTAACTTTATAGCACTGCGTGGCATAAGTTCACATCTATGGCACGCTTTTCGGTGGCATAAGTCGCACATTCTGGCACCGCTGCGTTCGCATCACACTCGCATACGCTCGTGCGCTAACCTCACTTCGCGCTACCAGAAAGTGCGACTTATGCATCGGAAAAGGGGACATAAATGTGAACTTTGCACAGTACTATAAAACGTTGTTCGATACTCGGGCCATAGGGGACACTTTTCGGCCCAGCTATTAGGACCCTCGCTGCGCTCGGGCCCTAAACTACGCCGTGCCAAAAAGTGTTACTTATGGCACTTGTATCGAAAATTACTATTATGGTAGAGGTTTGAAGATTATTTTTTGCTGTTTACCAAAATTATTGAATTTACTCGTCCAAAGTTAAAATGTGAGTATGTAAAAATACTTCATCAATTTAAGCAAAAAATTGTGTATATTTCATTATTTTTTAACAAACCGAGGAATTGAAGTGTGGACTGAAGACGAGTAAAAAGTAACATATTCCAATTATTCCAATGTATTCTATTGTACAAAATTTGTCAATCAAAACACATTTTTAAATAAAAATCCAATTGGAAACGGCTCATTGATTGTTTCATTGTTCTACATGCACTCGTGTCTATATACAAATGTGTGATTTAAGTAATTTTTCATGTTTTTGTAAAGAAACGACAAAATTCGATGAAAGATGCACAGTAAATATTGTCCCACCAGCGGAGTATTTTAGCGACATTTCAAACAAAATAACTACATTTAAATAAAACAACTGGCTCGTAGCCAAGTAGTCAGAAACTTTTTTCATCGGTTGAAATCCGATTTGTTTGAGTGACATGCAATTGTACAAAAACCGTTCCATTTGAGCGCTTGATAAAAAATATTAAAGTTTGCCTATCAAGTAATGATTTGATTTTTGGCTAACACTTTTTGACAGAGAATTAAAAAAGATCAATTTCATTAATTCTATGAATTTTGACTCTCATTAAATTTACATCTCTACTTAAATACGAATACAAAACGTGCACTTAGTAGAAAATGAAAATCAATTTTATGTTTTACACCATTTGCAACAATATTGTGATTTAAGACGCTGACAGAAATTTATGAATTTTGATTAAATTACTGACAAAATAATGACAAAAAGATGTAAGAAAAATGTTTCCAAATAAATGGACGAAATTATATAAGAACCAATTATGATCTCGGTAATGCAAGTTTCCTAATATTTTTTCAAGAGATTTTTCTGATTTAAGGAAGCGGGTATTTTCAGAATTGACCATTACAACAGTACACATGGGTTTACCACTTACATGAAAACTTGATGTAGCCTTGGTTGAAGATTTGAAGATCTCGTTCACTTAATAAAGTGCGATAACGACAAGTTTGGAAGTTGATATAAAATTCATAATAAAAAGTAAAGTGTGAAAATTTGAAGAAAAAAATTGAGTTTAAATATAAAAGTGACGTAATAGAGAATACATTGTGAATGAGTTTCTATGAACTTTTCTTATTGAAGCAGTTTACGAGCATAGAAATACAAGTTATCAGAAAAATTAGGTATGTAAAACATAAGAGAAAAAAACTTGGAGCAATGGAAATTTTTTGACACTTAAATGTAAGCATTACATATAAAGCACATGTATAACATAGAAAACGTGTAAGAAGCAACAAACGCAAAATGAACAATTAACAAAGTTCACATTGTAAAGCAAAACAAAATGAACATTGATAAGTGCAGGTCGTTTTAATAAACCTACATAATAATGTTTAATAATGGTTTACATGAAATGACTGCAAGCGTACCCACTGGTTTGAAGTATGGACCTAACCTTCTCAACCGGTATTGAGCGCCGAACTTTGAAATAATATATAGATAACTAATTTTGTAACATATAATCGGGGATGAATACGCATTCGAATGGGATAGTCAAGTGCTTACAAGTGCAGTTGTCGACTTTTTCTATGCCATTGAAACGCACGTTAATACCTGAGAGTACGCCGCAATATTGTTTGACTGAATATATCAAAGTTCGACACCCGATACGGACCCAAAATGAAATATTAACTAAATGCATGTTCTTGTAAAGTATAAAAAATGGAAATCCTGAAAATTGGAGACTTTTAGATCACTCCTCTGTGGTCTTGCAAAGGCTGAAATAGCACTTTACGGCACTCGCTTCGCTTGGGCCCTAAACTACTTTTTGGCGTGTCAGGGTTTAAGATACGAATGTAATAAGAAACTCAGGATTTTCATAGTTTTTCATACTCCAATAGATTTTAGTTGATACTTTATTTTTGAGCTGATCACGGTTGACGCTATGTACACGGATATTTATATGGGTACATTTATACAAACTTGTTATAATAATAAGATTTAAATATCACAAAAACACACGGAAAATTTATTTGGTTTTGTTGATTTACACTATGCACGATTTCACAAATGATTTGGGGGGTATAAGGCCACATAAAAAAGGTTAATGTTTGGTATACCTAATAGAGTAATATGCAACATCACGAGAAGGATAGGCCTGGCAGTGGATGACTACTTACGGTTTGGTCGTCTCTTTTCGCCGGACAGGCTCATAGTCCGCGAAAGCTCGCCCCTTCCCTGAGCTTTGAGACTACGCAGCGTCTCGAGTATCTCCTCTTGGTCTCGCATGGGTCGTGCGAACGAGCTTCGGCGCCTTTCGCGCGAATAGTGCACTCCGGATACATCCGCCTCGCCCATACTTCCACCTGCGTCGACAGAAAACAACGAGTTAAGTGGCATTGCCAAACAAGAACTGGAGCAACGAGAAGGTAGGGTACTAACGCTTGCTGTCGGTACCACCAGCTTGACTCTGAAAGCTGCTACGTCTGCTTCCGGGAAGAGATCGACTGTAATCCTTGCTGAGCTCGTACGGCTCGATCTCTAGCTGTTCGGACTGACTGGAACCACGGCGGGAGTTGGGCAGCCAGGCGTGATCGGGATGCAAAAAGTACGGCTCCGGACTACCGCTGTCGCTCTGGGTGTCCTCGCTGTAGCTGCGCTCGCGCAGGTCCGTGCGACGAAGCAGACGCTGGGCGAGCTCGATCGAGAGCGAGCCTCGGGGCGAGCAGTGCGGCGAGCGTCCCGAGCGCAGACCGCGCGGATCTTCCAGCCGGTACCTGCGTGATCGTTGGAAATTTTTTTCGTTAGCCGAGGCCAGCAGCTCGAGCCGCTTCGCAGGGACGACTTACCAAACTGCGCGGTCCGCCTCGAAAGCACTGGTCAAGTCGATGGAGCAGCCACCCATGAACATGCTGTCGCGGTCGGGGCAGTAGTCCCACAGGGTGACCTCTATTAGTCGATCCAGCAGCTGCTCACCGGTCACGTTGGTGAAGTTGAGCGTGGCGTTCCAAATGGGATTGTGGGTCGGCTCGGACACGTCCGTCTTCAACGACGTCACGTCTCCGCTGCGAACAACGTCAAATTCAACGTCGTCTCGGATGTCGCGCGAGCGTTTAAAATTTGCGACGTTAACTCTTGCGGCATACCTCGGCGAGACGAGATCGAGTTTCGCGAAAGCTTCGGGCTGCGTGCCGTAGCCCGTGTCTTCTCGGGCGCACAGATCGTCCGCCGCCAGGACAGAGACGACGAGCTCCTTGCGGTCCGCCTCGTACCACAGCTGAATCTGCACGCGACCCGTCACCTGTCGCTCTTTCGCTAATTGTTCCTGCAATGACTCGCAATGAGGAATGAATTAGCAATCGCCAACTGACGCTCTTGCATTTTTTGTGCGGGTGATTCCAGTCGGGTTTACACTTACGATGCACATGAGCATGCTGTACTAATAAAACTAAAATTCTAAGCAACAAAAAAATTATTCTCTATATGATACTGTGCCAATTATAAAGAAAAAAGTATGAAACTAAAAATCTCACGCATAACAAAGATGCATACTTTTATCCCACACACGCACGCACTCGGAAAAATCCGAATGTATACGAGGGTGAATATAATACGTGCACTACTCAATGTTACAGTGTGTACAAAATAAGTTTAAAGTAGTAAGATTACAGAGAGAAAGAGAAGCAAAAATAACTTAGATTTTTGTGTAATTCGTTCATACATTTTTTTTACTAAATGTGATTTGTATATTCCCTCTAACACGCGATAACATTCCAACGTAAGCATGATAATTCAACCATACTCTTACATATTAATTCATATTCATACACATACTCTATATACTTTTGCGTATTCTTAGAAAAGTACATGTTCTTTCTTTACAACGTTATGTTTCGTGTTTATTCATATGTATATAATATTTTATTTACAAGAGTACATGGAAGTGTAGCAGTTTTTCAGGTCAATTCTGTTAAAACTAACCTTGATCCCTACCTCTCTCATTTACTATCGCGTTTTAAATGGACAGAAAAAAATATCTTCTATAATTATACTAAAATCAACGGAGCCAGGCTGCTAATTTTTCACTACCTTTTTGTCACATACATTCGGAGTAAAATGCACCAACATTTTCTACTCAATATCACACACGAGCGTATCGTTTATTGATGCTTTTGTTAATAGATTAATTTGATCATTTTAAACATGATCGTACGCACAAATAGTATTTTGCACTCGTTTATTTGCTTTTTTTTTAAATTTAAATTTAAATTTTTTTAATCGCAGTTCGCTTACAGACGTTTTGAATTTTGAGAGCTGCTGTTATAGGACGACTGTCATCTTGCAATTTTTCTTTGGCCCTTCTCTCTTCGCGCGCAGTCATTTGAAAACCAAGAAGTTTTTCTGTTCCATAAAAGTAAAAACATAAACAAAAAATCAAAAACTTTAAGAAATCACAGTGGAATTTTTTCAATTTTCGAATTCCTTTTCTGCTGCTAATGCTTGACACATAAGTTCACAATTATGATTTCTCAAACTATTTTCTCTCTTATACTATAACTATACCATATCGCTCGCAAGTTCATTATGCGTTGAATAAAATGATGGTATAATGACTTCACAAGCCTACGAGAGACACAAAGCCACCAACTAGTAACAAGGCCACACATTGGAACGCATACACGATATGACGTCAAATGGATAAATAGTAGTGAAAAAATGTTAAACGACGTTTATGCGAGTGTACAAACTTATCAAAAAGAAAAAGAGTTATAGCCACACACCTACTTCAAAGAATGAAGTACACTAAAGGAGGAGAAAAAAATTACCTATCAGAGTATGGAAATTTGAGCGCATATACAAGTGCAATGGAATTACGATCAATTTTGAAATGGAAAAAAAACTTGGTATAGTAAACAATCAAAACACAACTATTCATATTGAAATTCTATAAAGCACAATGTATGGTTTAAAAATACGCCTTATAATTGGAAAAAGGTCTGTTGTAAATAAAATAGAGGATGTTCTAGGTGCGGCATCAATTTCTTCTTTTTCTTATAATGGGTTTTTATTCAGATCGCGGAGTCACAAAAATTCTCAGTGCTGTAGATACGAGATCATCATAACGATGATTACAAGAAAATTTATGTATCGATTCCTAACGCTGTTACATCTTGACGAAAACAAAAGTGGCCTAGTACGCTCAAGTTTGCAGCCAGTCTTATAGAAGTCGAACGTGTATATATTGGAGGTGTATTAAGTGCATCCCACTAGAAGCTCTTCTGGGAAGCGAAATCATTACAGCTGATTAAAGTTTTGCCTACTCTCCTTCGGTGGCCTTAAATCTATGCCAACTCAAGGAGCTGCTTCATGTTCTCTATGTGGTGCACAGAAAGGCGCTACTTTAACTCCACAGCGTTTACTTGATCCTATCAAAATTACGCGACCGACCGTATATTGCGGCGCAAGTAAGACAGCTTGTTTGGTAGATAATTGTGTAACGGTTGAAAGATAATTAAAAAAGAATATGGTATCATTACTGTGTGACTCGAATCGCTTGAAAATTTTTGCAATTTCTTATTTCAACATATTAAGTAGTCCAGAAATGAGCGCACACATTTTGTCTCCTTCGTATCGATTAAATGCCATATTGACAAATGGCATAAAATACTTCTCTTTCTCTCTACTTTCCTAATCATCTATAGTTGTTGGCTCTACAAATATAACTACTTCTATGTGTGGGCACATTTTCCGATTTCTTCTCAATAAAATAATATTACTCTGTTTATTCTCTTAAAATTATTGAACAAAAATTGAAAGTGGCATGAGCGGGCTAACAATTCGATATTATAGTCAAAAAAAAAAAAATTAACATGGCATCACGCGATATAATCTGTCTCGCGCATAAAACTATAGAAATATTTCTTCCACGTGTCATAAAAATTAAGGTGACACTCATTCGTGGATTTGCTTATAAAATTATACATTTTATGAGCGAAACGGAACATTCTGCGTCAAAAAAATATTAATTTTTTTTTCTAAACGGAGTCAATTTATTCTATACCTAATCTAATCATTTGTCTCTTAAAATCCCAAATCAATAGCAATTCAAGTGAGCAAAAAAATTAATGATTGAAAAAAATTAATTTTGATGGTTGGTTCGATTATAATTCAAATATTTTTAAACGCTAATATTGTTATTTATTAATTAAAACTTGAATGGCTTATTTCAAAAGCCTATATTTCAAATTGTTCAACCATTTAACCTTTATCGCTTATAGGCCCTTTTGAATCGAAAAATTTTTTAATTGATTTTTGGAAAAGATTCTTCCTTTCTTTTTCATTGCATTTTTAAAACTCTCAAAATGTGATAATTCACAGAGATACAGCACTTTCCGTGAGCTTTTTTTGTATAATTTACGTGTTACTTTTTTTCATTTGTGTTTTGACTGGATAGAAAACGCAAATCAAGATAAAATTTAAAAAAAGCTCATGGAAAGTTCTTTAGCTTTGCAAATATGGAATAAAAATGTTTCGATTGAAATGTGCCTACAAGCCTTTAAGATCGTCATACATCTTTAAGTCCAAGTCGTTCATGCCACCTTAAAATAAAAGAGAACTTTTAAGTAATTTTAATTGCTTAATCCACCCTTTTCAGGCTCATGCAAACAAGATAAGAGAGAAGAAAAATCACATTTTATAGAAGAAATGGAAAATGCATATTTTTTGAATTTTCAAATGAGCAAAAACGTTGTTTTAATTATTCTTGAGTGGAAACATACATTGATTTATGATAGTGAACTCGTTTCCAACAAATAAGAGTAGAGGTGTAACGAACAAATATCTAATACGATAACAGCACCTAATGTGTAATTAAATTTTATTCGGGAAATAAAAGGTAATACAGTGAAAGCATCTGTTCAGTTTTTTAATCGAAATAAGCAAAAAGCAGTTGCTTCTTAAAAAAGCAATGTTTATTGACATTTTAGAGTACTCAACTGCAGATGCAAATACTTTTCGCTAACAATAATTTTATCTTCTTTTATGTGTAAAATCTACCAAATTAAACAGCTCCATATAATATGTAAATATGTTATTTTTAGTCTACAGTTAACGCACACTGGTTTATGTTCTGAGGAGACAAAGTCATTGTAGCAATTACTTATTCTGAAGCATTTAATAAAATCTACAAACAATATATTTATGTCCACTATCTGTGATTTTTAAATTCACTTTTAAATAATAATGGTCACAACGATAAACTAATGGTGGTTTTAATTATTTATTTTTAATTAGAAGCGCTTTGATAATCGTGCTTTAACTGTAAACATCGAAACTAAACAGATCATCATACGCTTCTAAAGAAAATATAATGATATATAAAAGACATATATAGAGACTAAAATATATAATATAGATATTTCGTACCAGTTGGGAGGAAGAAGAGTATGAGAGGGTAGAGTCAGAAATTTGTTTTCGACGTGACAACTTACATTTGTTAACTTTCTTTTTCGTTCATCAATCGTCGTTGAATTTGTGGGGTTAACTTGCTAAATTTCAATGAGTTCAGGGTACACACATAATAGATGTACGTTGCAAAAATTAAGTTTTATGTTAACGGAGATACAAGATTTGGGAGCAAGGTAAATAAATATAACTTTTAAATTTAATAAATGAGTTAACATGAATGTCGATTTGCTGATCTGATTTTCGTAAGATTAAATGATGCACAGTTCATTTTCAAAAGAAAAAAAAACAAATAAACCAATCAATTTTGAGTACAGACAAATGTTAATTTGTTGGGATATATAATGAAACACCAACCGGGTACTCTTAACAATCCATTAAAATAAAACAACGACAAGAAAAACACCACATTTTATGAAATTTTAATTATTTGGTTTCATAGAAAACAGTTGAACGATAGAGATTCTAGAGCAGTTTAACAACAAAGTGGGATGGGTAAAAGGTTTTTTTTAAAGAAAAATACGAAAAACTTAAAGAATATAAAATTGTTTTAAAGAAGAGAAAAATTGCATTTAAATTTGTCTCTTCTTTTATGGCAACACAGATAGTTAACTTTTCCATTTTTGACATTTTTATTTCCAGTTTACAAGACTTCGTTTCTATTATTACATTTTTCTATTAGGACTATTATATATCTTACGGTGTAATTTGTAAGAGTTTTAGTGTATAATATATTCAACCTTGTTTGAGAGATCGACATTTATTTAACTAAACTTTGTGTTTTTTAGCTACTTTGCTCACAGAGTATACGCAATCAAACCCTAGTTTACACTATAAAATTCTTATTTATCTGAAATCCTCAGTAGCAGTTACCGAACGACATCAGCAACTGAAACATCTTGAATCAAAGAATCTAATTTCACTTAATTGTGACTATAGACTCGTTAGCCAAAAAATTCCTCTCTAAAATTGTAGGTATACAGTTCAAATATTATTTTTTTCGTGACAGTAAAACTGAATTTTGCGTCGCAGTCAAATTGTTCAGTAACGCCTACTATTGTAAAAATATAGCTGCAAAATCTAGTTTTGTCGTGACGAATAAAGATTTTGTTACGTAAACTACATAATATTTTTTCGTTTATAGATTCTTTCAAAAAGTACTATGCATGGCTTAGCAGAGCACTTAAAAAAAGATTACCGAAGCTTCGTGAATAATTCTTAATATCATCTCATCCCAACTGACACTTCTTTTTCAAATTTTATACCTTTCATAAATGTTTGCTAATGCAAGACAATTCATTGCTCGAGTTACATAAAAATTAATCTAGATTTACTTTAATGGTTTTTAAGTATTTATTCTTTACCTGCACTATTAATGATTCGGAAGAATTGATTCGTTTGTAAAACAAAACCGTTGACAAATTGTCAAAATTGTCAAAATATTTAAACCTATAATCGATACGATGAGCGATGTTACTTTTACGAAATATGTCGATATATTATTATAAGAAAATCTGATGCCAGCGATTCATTAGGGTAATTCCTTTGACGCTATAGCTTACTACGAAATTGATTGTACGAAAGCTCATATCTTTGTTAAATTATTTTCTTTTTTAGCAATAAAACTTTACCATCTGATTATAACATTCACGTTCACTCACTCACATCTGTATAATTGATGTTTTTTGATTGTTGAATGCACATTCAAACTAGCTACAATTATTCACTTTCTATGATTAATGCAATACATGTGGTATATTTTTTTCAGGTCACAGTATTTTTAGGATATATATGTATTTTATACCTAAAGTACAACGATTGAGAAAAGTGTAAGAGATTGGTCATAATTTTGCGTGCGTACCTCTAAAAATACAGTATGAAATGTATTGTTTGCAACCTAACAATTTGACAAATTAACTAGAAAAAATCTTTTTGATATTAATATGCATAGATTGTTACCGTGCCCTAAAAGGTTCAATCACGTATTAAAAATTAGCTCAATCGATTTCAAACTTTTCATTTTTCACATAAACTAACTCTAGCTAGTGCGCTCATATTTTATTTGGCGTTTATGCTATATTATTTACACTCAGACGATACGCAGAAAAAACTGTGATGATTGTTTCGTTTGAATCTCGCATTATTATTAGTAGAGATTTGGAAATTGGATTAAACTAATGCGCTTAATCAATGTCGCTTTTATGTATTATATCATTTATTCGTGTATACAATCGTATTTTCTATAAGTCTTTAGAGAAATGGAAGGAAGATGAGTCAATTCGACAAAGTTGTTTTCATATACATGAGAACGGTGGCACACGTGTTATATTGATTTTAATTCTTGATGAAATTTTTATTCAGTCACTCAGTTGCAAGCTTATTTTAAGATTATTTTATATTCATTATCGTAATATCATTTCTGTCAGTATCAAATCGGATTTAATCTTTATATATTAGGCATTTTTGCATCATCATATACTTACGTTGGGGAAAAAGTGACCTTAAATACACTTTTTTCATTAAAAAAGCTATCAATTTTTTAAAGAAATTTTGAACTTTTTTATGCTCAATGAAAAATTCAATCAATTGGTACAATACCATGGCTTCAATATTATTTTGTAATGATTATATTATCGTACACGAATGATTCCGATTGTAACTGCAACAAAGGGCCAAAGCCAATAAATTTGTGGTAGCGTGTAAAAGAAATTTTAAATCAAAATTAATGAACTCGATAAACTGTCTGAAAGGTAAATATTAACATACAGTAGTTGGTTTGTTTCGATCAATATGTCTCACTTTTTGTTTTGAACATTAAAAATCGTATATAAATTTATAACTCCATAGTTTTTACAATATTTAGATTTTACTCTTGCCATATTTATAGTTAGGTAATTTAATGTTACAATACATTTAAAAAATATTATGATTGTACGCGCAGTAAAACATTAAAATTTGTTCCATTTCTGTTATTTTAAAAAATGTCTAATTAGTTAATCTAAAATTTGTTGATTTCACTTTTCAGCTCGACATAAAAATATGCGCAAGATAATGTGCGTGTGCTTGTATATTTTGTTCTCGTGTAATTTGAAAAGTGACTTTGAACGAGAAAAATAATTGTTTTAAAAATAATTCTGATAAAAGTATATATATAACTTCATATATATATAGATAGATAGATAGAAAAATAAACAAAATAAGCAACAAGTAAGTAGAAGAAAAATTTTCTTCAAGATGAAAATATAACGAAAAGGAGACAGAATTGTGGAGCAATAGAGAATAGGTCATTATAATGCGTAGGCTCAATTTTAGCAACTCGTTATACCGGTGTCTTTGGCAGTTTCCTGCGCGTTGGCGATGATGGCGCTTTGTTTGTTTCGGATTCTGGAAACAAAAGAAAAATAGAATCAGGCACTGTAAAAATGTGCAACAGGGTAATTTAATTGACATCACGCAAATCTCTCGTCGAGTCGAATTCGTATACGCAACTTCTATTTAATGTGAGAAATCAGAATGAAAATGTAACTAAACGCGACAAGATCGACGAGAGTGAAACTATAATGTCTACATCATTTTAATGCATCAAAGGATTTCATGTATGTATTTTGTTCAGTGTCTGCGAATGGAAGCTCTAGCAAAGTATATCACGTTAAAAGGTATCACATTTGTTGATAAGGCGATCCTGAGTGTGGAAACAAAATAAAAATATCAATAATTATTACTTCACTGCAATCACTCACCTAACTGACTGAGGCCAAGATTGCCAGGCGTTTTTTCAGATTGAGTTGACGTCATGCCCTGATCGTCCATAGAATCTCCGCTCCTGAATCACGCAGACGCGTTGTAAAAAAACGAAAAGGATATTTCACAGAGCTTTTATAGAAAAGTAAAAAGTGTGCGATCTTACATGTCATTAGTGTGCTCGACGACGAGTTCAGCCACATCACCGCTGCGATCAATAATGTGCGCTACCTCTTCGAACGTCCTATCGATCAGAGATACGCCTCCCCATTCTAAAACCTGCGTGAAGGTAAACCAAGCCAAAACATGCAGCTTTACGTAATCGAACTTGAATAAGATAACATTTACTTGCTTGCTAAATCGCGAACAGCTGAAGAGGGTACGGTTTTTTCGCGAGAGTAAGGATAAAGCTAGCTCGTAGGAGGACATAAGTGCACGAGTCGAAAAAGAGACGTAAAGAAATCCTTACAAATCGCTCGTCTAAGGAATCATGTCTTAAAATTAGGAAGCAAGCCAGCTAAAGCACTTTGTACTACTTGCTTGTAGTACATAGAGCTCTTTGTGTGCGATCTCGGTGAGCTTTTTTTCTCGGATCGCGGGATTCTATACGATTTTGCGAGCTCAACGAGTTTTGCAACCCTTAGCAGGGCTACACTGTGCTGTATATATTGAAAAAAATTGGTTTGTAAAGCTTTTCGATGCTCCAGACTCGGAAATAAACTGACCAAATACCCGATTCAGCAGCAGCACCGAAGCGTAATGACGCGTGCATAGCCCCGTATTTGGCCATTGCGAATATTGTACAATAGGCCTGTGAATCAATGACTAGTGAAATGGCAAAGATTAACGCATGCAACTCGGTGAGGACTAATTAATTATAGTTCTGGAATCAAGTCGAGAAAATAGAAGTAACTTATTCAAATGAGACGAAATCGCTTCGTTCGCGTAGGGCTATTAAATCGATCATCTTCTTCCACTTGCTAAAAATGATAAATGATACTGACTTACCTTATCGCCCTGCTGCAAACCAGATTTCTCGGCTGGACCACCGCTAACCGTCCAAACTATAACGGCGTAGAGGCGATTATCGCTGCCGATCTTGCCCCCGACAACTCTCATGCCAAAGCTTCGTGCTAAAACACAAGAGAGAATATGGAATTGATAGCATAATTTGCGCTCGTGGTGAGCGGCATCGTAAAATAAAATATCAAGTGCGAAAAAAACGAAAGTTGTCTTTGTTGATAATTCAAGTTGGCACCTCGTATTATAAAATTGATAATTTCAAAGCCAACAACTTTTACTACATTTTTTAAATTTATGGAAAGTAATTAAATGTTGTTAGCTGTGAATACTCGAAACTACCGTAAATAATGACTCTAGTACTAAGTCGTAGCCAACCAAAAAAGCTAATCATTCTTCATTATAAAATTGCATATCTCTGCGGTGGTATACAGCTTGCACGTTTATAATAGAGCTTCCTCGGCATCTATTTACAATGTATATAACGCACTTTGCGGGGTTGGACTAGGGAAGATAATAACAAGCGTGTACAGTTGTTGCCCTCAGGCTTGCTTAGACTCGACTCTACTTTACTCTCTCTCTCTCTCTTTCTCTTCCTCTGCGTAGGCAAGGCCGTACATGCCTGTCTACAGATATGCCAGGCACACTGTATTATAGCTTCATTATGTATGTGGCCGAGATGGAAAAGGAGAGGGAGAGAGAGAGAGAGAGAGAGAGAAGCTTCGTGGCAGCTCGTTCGATTCTCTTATATTATACATAAAATACGCATACTCACAGCTGAGGAGTTTACTAATGAACGCACAGTAGTAATAATATCTGTGTACATCGAGTTTAATACGATACTGATGAAGGAATATTAGTGGCTTTCCGTTAGGAAGCAAGGACGAATTGAATCAGTCGGGATGCTAAACTATAATAACTCGATACAGCGAGAAACGTAAAAAACATTCATATGCACTTGGAGATGACGAAAGTTATGAATGATGAGAGCAAAAAATTACTCCAGTAGCAACAGCTAAAAGCCACCATTGGAGCTACCTTCTGCTACGTATAAAAATCCAGAACTTCGGAACAAAGCTTTTAAGCTCTTTCTCTGGGCGAACGGCTGACAAAAAGAGAGGAAAAAATATTGCGCGCTATTGCGTACTATTTTTTGCATAATAGAGGAATAGGGTAGAGAGGGTCATTTAGTTGCCGAGAATACTTTTCTTTTTTTCTCCTTAAAGCGAGAGAGACAATGTTTTATTTTTCTACGCACCCCTGAAATGTTATTTAAATAATAAGTGCGCCAACATTCTTGAATTACAACACCCGTGGAGAAAGTGAGAGGCGGGCGCACGTGTGCAAACACTTACTCGAGTTGGAGATATTGAAGTTGAGAAAAAGAGATAACGATGTGAAATATAACCGCTGTCGGCAAAGTTTGTTTCGAGATAAGCGAGTATTTGAAACTGCAGTTAATTAAATATAATTGCGCGAAAGAAAAAAAATCAGTAGTAATGGTCGGTTTTGGTCGGACGAGTCTCAAAAAATCAAAGTATCGGCACAGGTCACGATCAATTAAGCGACGCTTACTAGACCTACTTGAAACTATACGAAAACTATTTGAAATTAACTAACGATAAACTATCGAGTGAATTTCTCCAAAACTGCAGAATAGCTCCACTTTTCGCCTCATGTGCTTACACAACGCACCTTTATATTGTGAATTAAACTTCCAATTCAACCTTTAACCTTAGATACACTAATTTACCCAGAAAATGTATCGATAGGTTTGCAAGAATCGATGAGCAACTTCGTGGGCAGTTATTTGCAAACTTGGTCGTGGAAGTTTTTGAGCTTGTACGTAGCAGTGAAAAATTTGATCTTGGAATATATCTGAACAGCTGCACGAGCTTCACGAATGTAGGTCACGAGTTGGGAGCTTCGCAAATCACAACGAAACAATAAAAAAAAAGCAAGATACATAGTTGTGTGTTGCGTTACAGAGTGGTTTTTTACCTTGACAAGTCCGGGGGCTGCACGTGATGCTTATGTAAATTCGCGCAACCAATGTGCACATGCATAGCAATATCACATTTAATGAATTTGCGCAACATTTACGCATGCATATTCCTGAACAAATAATAATATCGCGAGCGAAAGACGAAAAATAAATTTCGTATTGAAAATGTCGTCGCATCGGATCGAGGACAAGCGAATAATTTCGGACATTTATCATTATTATCATCGTCCTCATCAGTCCGGAATACGCAATGTTGGATTTTGATTTTCCCTACTACATCATCCGATATCTCGCTCGTGTATTTGTACGCGCGGACGTGTGTGTATGTGTACCTGTTGCGGCCAGTATAGACTAAGCTCGCGCACGGCTGTGGTCTGCGGTTTTGTTTACTGCGATCCATCCCTTAATAACACGAGAATGATCGTACTTGACCCGAGTAAATCTTATTTTCCAAGCCTATCTAAGTGCAAAATGAACCTCGCGTCTCGAGTAAATGTACGTAAAGAAAGTGATGCTAGATTCAATTACATGTATACTCGCCGCGTGACATTCTTGCAGTCGCATGTAGAGAGCGAATTGCGTACGATTTCCATGAGAATGTGTACGTACTGTAAATACAAACGGCCGATTGTCTGTTAAATTGACCGGATCGAGTACACCGTCGCATCCACGAATCCATCGAAAATATTATTCCGATACTCTTTCATTAAATGATCGTATTTAAATGTTTGCACTTCGAGTGCGACTCGGTAAAAGTTTACGTCGGACTCATTTACTTCAGCGTTGAATTCTAAACGAAAATTCAAGGACACCGATGAAAAAAAATCCAACGCGTTGATAATATCAGTTGAAAAAAATGAAAAGTTGTCGAACGCAGTCCGTTTGAGAGAGAATCGGCCATATATATATACATAGAGACATAAATTCAGGGCCGGAGTGGTTGGCTGTGCGCGAGCCTGCAGTGCAACAGCGTCGTGTCACATAAGACACGATCGATAAAGCAACACGTGCTCTTATGCGCTGGCGCGTATTGCATAGTGATAGACTGTGAAATTTCGGAAATTTCAGTTTGCTCGCTTGCGCGTCTATGTTTGAGCACTACTACGTAGCGCTGCCGCGAGCTCGCTCGCGCGCGTCCGTGTATTAATGAGCAAATGGTTGCATTAATGTTATAAACAGGCGCGGCGGTATACGCGAGCAAGGCATTTGCGAGCGAAAACGTGAATTAACTCTGGCGTCAGTTGCCAGCACTACGAGTGAGATGAATCATTTTTGATTAAAACTCGAGGACGCACACATACATTATCGTCGCATCCTTTTTAATCCATTGGCCAGGCGGCACCGACTTGGAATACCTATACGAAGGAGCAACGACGACAAGGACATCGCTTGATTCTCGTTAAACACACACGCACACTTTTTACTCGTACGTGTTGGCGCTCATAAGTTTCGCTGCATAGAAATTCTTCAAAGTATAAGCAAGGCGTGTGTCGATAAATAGCCTGGTAAATAAACGTCGAGGGCAGGCGTGTGACTGACGTTTAATTATTCCCCACCCACCCGCATGTACGGCATGTACATTTTCCCTAGTCAACGAGCGCGCACACGATGATACGCGTCTGTTTTCCCGATTTTTTTTTCTTTTCTTCCTTCCACTATCAGCCTCTGCGTACGTGCATTTTTTGTCGTCGAGCTCGATGACGTTGCACAAATATCATAGCAGTGCAATTCCGATGTTTTTTTCATGCGAGCGTGTATCGCAAAAAACAGCAATTTTTTGTTTTTTACGACGACGCTGGGTCACGCATACCATCCGTAAAAGATCCCAGCCGCACGCGCGTGTATACTATATTTTTGTTCGTTCAAAAATACGAAAAAAATATTTTTTCACTCGCACGAGTCCAACGTGTTTTTCAAATATCTTTTTTAAAATTTTAAACAACTAAATAATCCAAGACAAACAAGTGAGTAGTAATAGTTTAGCGCTGAACACTAACAACAAGGGTTGATAGATTCCTGTAAGACAAACTGCAGAGACGGTGTAATTGACTGTATGTTTACAGAGTAAATATATCTTGACTGCTTTTATTGATTCGTCAAAATTTTGCTTTTTATCATTAGTATCTCTTAAAATTATTTAGCTACCTCTCAAACCGTTGATTAAACATAATGATAACGGATGTGGGCGCGAAAATATGGCTCGCACCTCATTCTGCGCTAATTTATTGAGTGATCGAAAAATTAGCCCAATGACCGCAATGTTCGATTTAGGGTGGCTGAAATCAGCTATTCCGTGAACCGACTCTAATTTCCGAAATAAGCCACTCGTGCTTAACCATCAAAAACTCGAAATCGAATGAACCTCCAATACGAAGGCGATAACTCAATCAGTATGCAAATGTGTAGTCTGTTCTGGGTAGAAAAATCAATTTATCGAATTGCATCTTTACGTTTGTTATCTTCTCTTGCTCCTTTTTTTTACCTTTCCTCTCTACTGCGTCCGTCTGTAACTCAGCTTCTTCTTTAGCTCGCGCGCACAAAGGCGACTTCGGCCTGTATGTGTGTTGGAGGGATTATCGGTGCGAGCGGGTTAAGCTTCTCAAGCGTATTATTCGAGTCTTTTTTCTGCTGCAACGATCTCAAAGGGCTTTTTGCAATCGAAATACGCCTTGAAGAACTTTGTAATTATTGAGTACAATGCTGAGCGTAGAAATTTTACATTTCTTTATTTATTCATCGAACGCAGAAATCGAAGAGTATAAGGTTGTCCTGCTGAGTAGGACGATTGCTTCATTATGATGACGCTTGCACCTGTTGCACCTGCTTCTACACATCCTCGAGACCTCTCTGGGGAATAAATCTACCTTATTTTTCTTTTCTTATAGCTTGTTTCTTCCCCTTTTCAGCAGCGCTCGAATACTCAAGGGATACTTTTAAAGATACAGAAATGTTGTCGAGCTTCCAAATGAATCACCGAACTGCGATTCAATTACTTGGTGGATTTTCTTTTTTTACTTCAGAGATTAAAGGTAAAAACGAGATGAGAAAATTGCATCGATGATTTTGAAAAAGTAATTAACCAATATAAAATTTTCTCTGCGGTTCAATTCTTTTTTCCTGACCAATCATCAAACTGCAAACAAGAACCAAACAAACGAATCAAATCCGTAAGTACACCGATCTAAAATGAGCACGTAAAAAAGGGAGCAGACGAGTAAGCTTTACTTAGAAAAGGGAAAAAGTCGCATTTTCATCCATGCTATCAAAGTGTGAAAGCTCCATCGTTGGCTACACAGCGAAAAGAAAATGAGAGAGAGAGAGAGAGAGAGAGAGAGAGAGAGAGAGAGAGAGTGTCGCGAATAAAAGTTACTTTTTTCTAACATTGCTGCTATAAATATATCTACGGATTGAAAATCCGTGGGTAAGACACCTTCTCTTTCATTTCTTTCTTTTCTCGTACGCGCGCGTGCAAAAAACTTTTGCCTAGCTCAGGACACTAATTTCCGCTCTCGTGACTTGCCTGCAACGACGCGGACAACGAAATTTCCGGAAGAAAGAAGGGCAAGAAAAAGAATGAGAGATGGAGAGTAAAGTTAGTTTCTGGAACAATCAAAAGTGGGTTTCATGTTGTTAGAGATGATAATTACTTTTGGTAGTTGATTCTTGATTACACTTCTCTTGGTTTTTTTTCGCGAGCCGAGTACAATTACAAATATATTTTAACTACTCACTTCTGTGTCCCTTTTCTACGACCACGTCCTTGCGAAGTACGACTTTTCTTTTCGTGTTGGTTCTCGGCACTGAAAAACAATCGTCGATTAGCTCAATTATAAGATTTTCATAATTTTTAATGAGACTCACACAGCTTGTACCATTATTAAATTATTCACATTCGATATTACTTTATTTTAAAGACAGTATGGATGTTCATTATTACTCTCTCGGCAGGTAAAAACCTTCATAAACGAATAATAGCTGGAAAAATTTCTTTTGAGGTAAATAAACGATCCCTTCAGGGTTTTGTTATTCTTTTTTTAATCCCTTTGCATTGTTATACATGCAAACGCGTGACCTTTTTCAAAACTATTGTTGAGAAAATTTCTTTTTGTTCCCAGATCAAAATTACAAAAATTGCTTCATAGTTGGCGAGCGCGGAAAATTAAATAGAAATGTAGGCAGAAAACTCTATCAAGCGAAAAAAAAACGAGTCAGCCACGAGAGGTCTATTTACATTCGATAATTTTTCCCACTCATTGGCCTCTGCTTTTTTCTTTTCAAGAGCGGCAAGGTAGCGTCGTGTAAATGGCGAGCGAAAAAGAAGCAACTCGAACGAGGTCAAGGATAAAAGCGAGATTCCTCGCGGGCGCGCAGCTTCTTGATCCTGCTGCGGGTTGCACGAAATTCAGCGCGGACACACGCGGCCGAGGCCCTAATTCGCCCCGGCGTATATTTTTAGGCAAAAAAGCTTTATTAATAATGTATTCCGATTGCCAGCAGCGCATCGTACATACACATCCTTCAAATATTTATCTTTGAACGCAGCACTTTAATAGGCCAGAATCGCTTATTCATTCGTTCGATGATTAATGCATGAACGAGAAAGTAAAGAGTACACGCAGAGGAGCCCACAGAGTGTATATTAAATCTTGGGGGAACTTTATCCTCTTTGCTCCTGGACTAAGTGAATTCCTCGACGTTTGCAGCGCGCGCGCCCGCTGCACGTAAGACTGTGTGTATCGATTTTCAATATTCGTTACACGTGGCCTAGTGTAATGGATGAATTCCTTGCCGAGAGAGGGTTAGCAATTTTTCCTCTTTCGTTAATTGCTCGTGGGTGAATATTTTAAATTATATCCCCGCGCCCTTGAAAAGCCTTGAGAGATTGCAACACATTCACCGGATCGATCGGAAAATTTAATGCGCCAACTATAAAAAGCATTAAATAAATTTGTACTCTGAATTTTTTATCTCTCGCGACGAGTGATTATATGTAATTTCAATTTCACTCGGCTCGGCAGTATCGCTCGAACGAGCTGTGCGGGGCTATATGTGGTCCGACCAAATAACGCCTCGATCACTGCAAACGAATACTCACCGATGTCGCAATCGACGTCGTGAATGACGATCTTGATGCCTTCGCCGTCGGCGAGGCTCCCTTGGCGGGCCAGTTCGCGATCCTCGACACCAGCGGCCACGCGCGCGACTGGCCCCGCAACGGCTGGAGCTACCACTGCGGGTGCAGCTGTCCTCGACACCTGGGCCGGCGCTACCGACGACGTTGCCGACGACGACGATTGTTGGGCTGCAGCTGCATTAGCGAGGGCTTTGATCATGTTGATGTTCGGTCTGTGGAGCAATAACACCAGCGAAAATTACGCTTTTTAACTCGTTGAATTCGAAGAGCAACAAAGCTTCGCGAAGAAGCGAAACAAAAAGAAAGAGACTCGCGTGGGGGGGGGGGGGGNGGGGGGGGGGGGGGGGGGGGCAGCGGCATGAAAGCGGCTCGAAAACAAGCGCCCGAGTCAGACGAGAAAAAGTAAATGGCAAAGACGCTGCGCGCCACGGAAGAGCCTGTGTTGCGCGAGTGCTACGCTGCGATTTAAAGACACAATGAATAGGTCTCACGGCTTTAATTGTAGTGCAATTTCGTGTAATGGCTGCGCCCCCTCCGCGCTCCAGCTACAAAATACTCGTGGGGAATTTCTCAATTGAATTAAACAACAATTTTCCGTACCGAAAAAACTCGCGGCGGATGAGAAAAAAATTACCTACCCCAGCTTGCTTGTATTGTATACGTTTACATGCACGTGAAGCCAAAGGAAGTCTGCGGGCAAAGTTAGAATCCTGACAAATTGAATTAGCCTTCGAAATTTGCCAGAACTAACATGAGGGAAAGAGAGAGGATATAAATATATAAGTTTATTTATGGGTAATGAAAGTTTATGCATACGACCGAGAATGTAATCAAGTTATCTCCATTTAGTTCATCCGGCCGCCCGTTCATCGAGTTTGCACTCGCCGAGTTTTATGTAGGTTTTAATTTTTTTTTTTCCAAGCCTCCACGCTATGCTCTCAAATTTCATGAGCTACCAAACTTATAGATTCATCCAATTTTTAAATCAAGTGATATAATATTTCATAAATAGAACAATATATCAATTAAAGAATGCCGCATGAAAGGTATTTGCCAGTATTATTCATCCTCTCGGGCGGCTAAAAGAATACTCACGATTCTAATGGAAAAAAACAATCGCAGAGAGAAATAGCAGAGCAATAAAATACAACTCGCTCGCTTTTTTATTCGTCATTACTACGCGTACATATAATTCCGCGCCTGAAATTGTTATTATCCGCAGCAAGGTTCGTTTTTTATATGCATTAGCACGTCCATTCGACGCTTTCTTTATCTCGCCGAGCTGTACGCGTATACGAGTTCATTTCGCGCCATTGAATCACCTTTAGAAAGACTGCATCCCATTCGGAACACGCACGTATGCTTTTTTCCTGGCCTTTTTTTTCAAGCGCATCGATCTCGTCCAGATAATATTCAAAATATACAGTGGCGGCGGCGGAGGTCGTTTCGCGCGCTCTATGTGGGTTACAAGCTGCGAGCTACAATTATTATTATAAACGCGCGTGCGGAGCGCGTACTGCACACGCTGGAGCATTTATTCATCCGTTGCTTACAACTTATCATTTCGGCTAAAATATCATTTCGTGCAGGCGTATAAACACGTTTCGCCGAGCGCGCGAATTTAATTTGCAATGCACACGGGGCCGCGTAATCGAGCGTGACGCAACAACACAACGTATAGCAGGCCGGAGCTTCATTGTTATTCAATCGCAGCCCGTTCTGGGGGGCTCAGCGGAAGAATAAAAGTGTCAGGGATTTTTGCGCGAGTATATCGAATTGCAAAGCATATACATTTGTCAACGATCGTGTTTTCTCTTCCCTCGAGAGCCATAAGAGTAATTATTCTCTTCTGTTTATTTTTTATTTATTTCCTTTTTTATTTCTCTTTCGGAGCGAAGCGGCGGCAAGTGCAACGCAGAAAAGTATACGGGGATGTGCGCAGATGTAAAAAAAATAGACGGTACTTACAGCTGCGAGCCGCGGCGTCTCGTGCGCATCTCCTCGTCGGGCATACGTATGCTGTCGTCGCCGGCTGGGTTGGCGTCGAGGTTGATCATTTTTTCGTCGTCCCCAGCTGGGCCGGCGAGCTCGTAAGGCATTATGGGCTTGTTAGCTCGGAACGACGGTCGCCTCGACGTCGAAGTGACCACCGCATCCGTCTCTCTCGTGCCTGTGGGGGGGTTACGCGCATATGTATACAATATAATTGCGTAGTCGGCAGCTTGGCACACACTTGGCGTTCGCGCGGCCAATATAGCGAAATAATTGAAGCGAGTTTTGCAAGTTTGCGACGCACACGTGCATTACAGCACAAACGGGGGAGCACCGCTCGTATATATGTATAAATTCAACGTAACAGCTCGGTGTTTTAACCTTTAAAGCAGAAACAGTGGCAGGAGCCGCAGCAGCAGCTACAAACTTGGCCTGCCTCGGCAAGAAGGATTTATAGCTGGCACATAGCGGAGCAAAATAAGTATATACACGCGCAGAGAGAGAGAAAGAGCTGCCGCCGTTGCGAAAATCGATATCGGTAAAGAGACTTTATAAGAGGTGTGGAAAGTTTGCTTGCATTAGAAGTTGTTGATGCTGCTGCTGCCACAACTACTACTACTACTACTAGCACTACTACTGCTACTGCTACTGCCACTGCTACTGCTGCTGTTGCTGTTGCGGCAATGTTTCATTATCCTTGTTATACACAATGTTTGAGTTTGGGCTCGATCAGACAACAACGTCGAGGAAGAAAATGTACAGATTGATGCATGGGTGCTGCTATACCTTGAGCCGATATGGAAGCTCGATGCTGCTGAGGAGCCCCTACGGCGAGTCCACCCGCGGGGCCGCTCGAGTAGACGTCGTAAGCCGAGGCCCGTCGAGCCAACGGCACCGGCAAGCCCAGCGCTGCCTCGGGACCGCCGCCGACCAGCATCGAGTGCTGCTGCTGCTGTTGCTGAGCCGGCATCGCTGCTTGGCCAGTCTTGATCTCGTCGTCGTAGGAGTGCTGACGAGTGACTCGGGACTTGCGGCGTATCGTGCTGCCGCCACCCTGTGCACCCGCCGCTCGTCTCGAGCGCTGTCGACGATCCTCCTCGTCATCGATTATCTCGTTGCCGGCGCTATCTTGCTCTGTTACGACGAGTAAGGAAGCGATTAGTAAGCCTGATCCGCGACTAAGTACTCGACTGTACTCACCGACGAGGCAGGGCGATTTTCCGCGCACCGGACTGGCGTTCCTCTGTCCTCCTCGGTCGGGCGAGCCGCTTCTCGACTTGCTGCGCCATTCCCAATTCTCGTCGCCGCCGCTGACACGACGTTCGCCTGCAACCTTGCGAAACTGCAAACGTTAAAACAAACAGAGGAAACGGAGGGTTAAACGACACTTATGTGGAGCGGCAGCAGGCGGCGATTGATGTGTGTGTGCGTTTAAACATTAATACGGATGCTTTTGCCGCACAAGGTATCGATTGCAGGTGTGCTTGATGCATATACAGTGAACCAATGATTGTCTTTTTTTCTCGGTTTTTTTTTTCCATTGACCCATGTTGATAACTAGGCTGTTATTGACAGATCACAGTAAGCTTGCATGTACACGTAATTGCACGTTTTCAGGTATTGGATCATAATACAAATACCTTAGCATTAGTACAAATAGGCAGACACGCACAAACACGCACACAAACACTCGGGCGCGCATATTAGCATTATCGATCCGATCCTAGGCTGAATATTACGCCCTGTATAAAATGGATTACATTGCGCTGCTGCACGTGGATGATGGTTATTAACTAGTTGACGGATTATTACATAATTATAGTTTATCTCGTAATGCGCGAACCGAAAGTCGAGGATCGCGGCATTCGGCACGGGAGAGAATTTAACGAAGAAAAAAGTAGGCAGTAGATCGAGGCGATCCGAGCTTTCGAACGACTTGCGCATGCACGGCAATCAAAAAGTTTTACTTTTGCCGAGTTTAAATGAAACTGATGACGATTTCGCTCGAGCAGCTAACTCGAGATTATCAAAAGAGCGATAAGTACGGGGGCGCAAACTTCAATACGCCGAGGTATATAAAACGAATCACAAACGCGAAGAAGAACAGAAAAGGGCTCAGCGAGATAAGTTTAATCCCTTATCGCTTGCCTCTCAGCTGTAAATAAATTATTTAAAATTTTCCCGAGAGCAACTGCGGAGCGTGCAAAATAATAAATTGCTTTTTCTCAGTTCTACTTGTTATAAAGCCGCGCGGCGAATAAGCGTAAACGATAAATAATCGAAAGAGGTTTTAAGTTGCAAAAAACGCCGGTGAGCCGAGAAGTTTATTTGCCCGGGTAACATGATTTTGCATCGGGTAAACTATACCGGCTGCTAGCGCGCGTATATATGCAAACAAACGGGGTCACGCCAACTCCGATATGTGTGTGTGTGTTTGTGTGTAATACTGTGTATGTATGGTAGTTAGAGAGAAAGGCAGAGGAATACAAGGCGGATTATAGCCTGGATCAGTGCTAGGAGCTTCTACCTTTCTACCAGTCCCTCTACGCGTACATGCAACGCATCCGCGTGATTTTACCTCCCCGTCTTCGAAGATTTTTTTCTTTTCTTTTTTTTCTTTTTTCTTTTTTTTTTTTTTCTGATTTACCGTACACGGGGCTACGACCATTTATCTTTAAGCCATTTTTAACTTTGTCATTTTTAAGTAATGCTCGAGATTCTTCAAAGAAACTTTCTGCACTTGATCATCATTATTATAAAACGTGATAAAAGGCTTGGAAATAAAGTTTCATTAGGATTTATTGCTGTGTTAAGCGGGACAATAATTGCCTACCGATAAAAAGTGTAATATAACAATTTGTACTTTTAGCTTGACCTAATCTTTTAACATTTTCCATACATGTAAGTAAGTAGATAACGAATTGACACTAATGTGTAACCATGCGTTTATGTATACGTACGGAACATATAAAGGCTTTGTGTATTTACCATTGAACTGTGCACTAGTGATTATAATAGAACATTGAAATGCGCCCAGACTCATACAGAAAATCAAGCTTACATATATTATATATTACATATGCATATTATGTACAATTCACATATGTACTGGTTAACATTGATTTGTCGTTAAGACTTCAAAAGCCGATGATAACATTAATTCGCATGACTTATTCGCAAATCACGCCTTGGTTTGTAATATTGATTTTGTTACATTAATTTCGTCGCAAACAATCGAATCGCTGCACTTACGTACCTTTTCGAGATCTTTGAGGCTCGCCGGCGAAACGTCCGAGTGCCTGCGTAAGTCTGGACTACGCGGAGGCAGAAGACCAGAGCCGAGAGCGCCGACCGACGCGACGGCCTGGGAGCCGAGGCGCGCGTCGCTGTGCCGCCTCACCAGGCCCTCGAGCATGGGCACCTCGAGCGAGCCCTCCTTGCCGATGGCCGGCTGGTCGCGAGGCGCCAGTTTTCGTCGACAAACGCTGCAGCACCATAATTGCTGCAAGCCAAAAAAAAAACAGCACATCTGTGAACGTTCTTCTCGAAGGCTCGTCGGTTATCATAATGGGCGTAATTGCGCGCGCCTTCGAGCTCCGTCTAAGCTTCTCTCTAATGCCAAGTTTACGCGATGATACAAAAGCGGCGTAAAGCTGCTCCAGGCGCACTCGACGCTGCAGCGCCAATGGAACCAGAAGAGAATCGTATAATCGTGCGCGCACTCCTCGTCTCGGCAGCTCTCTCATAGTTCGAAATTAAACTAATCCGCCAGAGTCGACGACGATCCCACCGCTACGCTCGTACGCGTAAGGGGATGTTTTTCGCCCGGCCGAGCTCGACCTGGAGAGGTCATTTGTCAGCGCAGGGCCGCAAGTAAGAAGAAGGCATTCTTCGCGGCTCGTGTAATGCCGAGCGCCGCTCGACTAGAATTCCAATGAGGACCGCCCTACGTGCGTACGAGTGTTAATTTAGATTCTTCTTTTTTTGGAGGGGTCGCGTCTATCTGAGCGCGCGTTACTTTCGGCATCTTTCGCGCAAAGGCCAGAAGACGTTCTCTACATTTTTGATTCGCACGCGCTACAACAACTCATAATTTGCACGTCAAAGTTAGACGCGAGAAGCCGAGTTTATTATGCGTATAGTTGGGCCAAGGCGCGCACGAGCAAACATAAAGTCTCTAAATCTCTGTGTTATGCTTGCTCTACTGTGTGTAGCCACGCGCGCGCCAACTAAATTAGTTTCATGCTTCGCTTCACCGCTCGTGAGAGATATTTCAAATGTATAGATCGAATATAAGCTCGCGAGGATTAAGCTCGCCAGCGCTCCGTCCGTCCACCCGTCCGTCCTTTTTTCCGTCGATTCCGGCGAAAAAGTAAATCCACGCTATACCAGAGTTTTTATTGTGGTGATTGATCGAGTGGTTGCGTTTGAATGCCTTATCGGTTTTGCGCCGTTCGTGAGATCCATGATCGATGGGTGCTGGACTTTTCGCTCGTAATTGTTTGCTGATCTTTGCTCAAAAGAGAGCTCGCTGAGCAACACGACCGATTCGATAAATTTTTCATTCGACAAGTTAAAAAAAAAAAAAAACAACCAGCTACTCTAGCTGAGCGAAGTAAAGTTTTGAAAGCACGCCTCGCACTTTCCGCCAGTTACTCTTGCTTCTTCGTAAAAGCCAAAAAGAATATTTTATGGGCCGCAACGATGCAACCCTCGAATGGACTCACATAACAATAACAGCTTGGCCTGGACCATCACATATATTATACACAGTACGGGCGTATTATACGATTACTTCTGCGACAAATGTTTTCATCTAAAATGACTTACCGGATCGTCCGAGTCAGCTGTTGTCGAGTAGGAGGCACAGTCCTCGCAGACCTTGCGTTGGCACTCGTAGCACGTCCGCGACACTTCCTCCGGTTTGATGGACTTTATACATACCCTGCAGGCCGTCGCTCGATTCACCGGCTGTTTTTCGCTCTCCGCTTTTCTGCGAGTCCGCAAACGAAAAAATACGAGATAATATCATTATTCCAACTCTTTCTTCAAAACTGGCTCAATTATCATTTTTCACCCGGGCGAATTCGACGTAGAAAAGTTCGACGAAAAGGGCGAAAATGAAGACCGTATCCGCCGAAAGCAATCTCAAGTGGATAAAAATCTCATCGAGTGCGGATGGAGGAAGAATCGTAGATTAAATGATCGACGATACTGCAGCCTGTTCGAATGACAGCCGCACAAAATCAAATATCGCTCGGTTCTTTTTTTCTGCCCGACAGTTCGCGCACCGAGAGCTGAATCGAAAATTTGGCTACTATTGTCACTGCTGGTATAAAGCGAACGGTAATTTAAGTGAAATCGCTCGATGACTCTGAAAGGTAATTCGGCAGTTTTTAATAAAAAAGAAGATATCGTGCAGCAGATGTGATCTTATCAAGCCAATTGAAATGGACGTTTTAGAATATGTTCAAATTGCTTTTTAGCCTACGAGCTCGTTTGTCTTCTTTGCCGGATACTAGATGGTATTATTGAAATTGGTGAATTTAGCGATAAAAATCAACGACTTTTCAATCAATTTCAGCGCGTCAGAGACATTCTAAAATTATATATTCCTCGCATAGCTCAAAGCCATATAAGAGTCAACTACGCGCCTATACATAGTTAAGAGTCATGAAAATTTTGGTGCAACTCGTGTCTGAGCTTCATGAATAATGCAACGTTCATGTATTTGTGTGCATAAAATATAGCTCGAATCTTTACGTAGGCGGCCGCGCACATATATTTATATAACAAAAGCGCTGAACGTGCTGGGCCGTAAAAATCCTTCGAGTGCCAGTGGCTTGATCCAAGCCTCGAGATTTACCTTAAGATATTCTCTTCCCCGTGTGTGTGTGTGTGTGGATGTATGTGTTTATCGTAATATCTCGTCTGACAGTGGAAGAATTTTAATGACTTGTAAAAAGGCATTTTACATGAAAGTAAAACCTGATCCACTCAGTAGGTCAGAAAGAGATAAAGAGATAATAGCGGTAGTGAAGAAAAAAAAATAGAGAACCGGACGATTTTCCTATATCACTTTTAGAGTCTATAGTTTGGAAGTCGACATCTTACGAAAAATCAATTCCACCTATTTCTCTCTCGGGATACTTGTGAGCCAGGCGATGAAAAGAATATCCGAACAATGAGAAGTAGAGACACCGGATCTTCGTTCCGTGCGGCTTATTGAGCCATATAAATTCGCGCAGATTCCTTCCTTTTTCAATAATCGTATTTCACCGATCCCTACAGCCATATTTCGTGCCTCGAATATTCTAATAATACAAGAGCAAAAACTCACGGTTTGGGCGGCTCGATAGTTGGCGTGCTTTCCTTTGGCTGTAAATTATCCACTGGCGTGACTTTGGCCGGCGTAAGTTTCGTTACTGCAACATTCCAAAAATATATTACACATTACGTGCACATCTGCTAACTGACTCGCTCGCCGCAACGCCGAGCGAAATAATACTCGAGCTACGTCGATTTCGAGTAGTTGGATTTTCTCGCGCGAATCTGCAATGACTCGGAAAGCTCATCTCACGCGCGAAAGCACAGCGCGTACACAACGATTATCTTCAAAATCTGCCATCGCATAGTCGTGCCTCGTCGTGCCTCGTCGAGGGAATTTCCACCTTTTCCCCGAGCTAATTGCCTCGAATCAGCCAAAATAACTTACGTACACGTAAACTACAACTCAGTGAGAAAAGCCAATTTCTCAAAGTTGGTCGAGGTGCATTTGGGATTTCGAGCTTGCGCGGACCAACCAGTAGAGGCAACGAGCAATTTAATCATCGCCATTACTATTATTATCATTATTATTACTATTATTGTTGTTATTATTATTGTTGTTGCTATTGTTGTTGTTTTTATTATTATCAATGCTGTTGTTATTTTTGCCGTTACATTTTTGATATAATAAGCTTTTAAAAGTGGACACAATCGAGTTACATTTAATTAACCATTAAGAGGTAAGTGCATAACTGCCACCCGTAACGAAGCCAGAGCACAATTATAACTTCTTAATGATGTTTTTTAAAGTACGTTTAAAAGTTTCGAAATACGATTATATATTTAGAATCAAAGCCATAAAAGTGTGCATTTTAGGCTGTATTTGGGATTTTGATGGTGCTTCAAATTGCATTTAATGAGCGTACACGTAGCAAAAGGTACAAAAAAGTTTTCTGTTCGTAGTTGCTTTCGGGCAACGTAACTCTTGGTTTATTTGATTCGGTCTTTCCATGCGAGAGCAATATGTATGTGAATCTCTCGGCAAAAATAATATTTTCAATAAAGCTCCCGCAAACATGACATCGATGTAATATATATTCGAAGCCGCAACCATTTCCAATATCGCTAATGCTTCTTTTGAACTTTTGCGTGCGCAACGCTGATAATACATAGTTTTTCGCCACGCAGTCTCAGCTCTGTCAAACGAATATCACGGTTATTAACGGGCAACAAAGAAGAAAAAATAATTTTTATTTTATCTTTTGCACGGAGTAGAGAGTAAAATGGTCGAGTTCATAAAATGTCGACGGTTCGAAATTTACAGCTCGCTGTCGGCTCTGTATATACCGTAGTGACACACTCGCGCCGAGACTTACGTACGAGTGCATACGTATATGGTATATACGTATGACCGAGAAGCAATTTCTCAGGAGAAAGTATATACACACGCCTCTCCCTCGGCAGCGTTAAATTTTCATCTAACCGTCCTCAGAGCGGAACCGTCTTTTGCCTTTGACGCTCTCTCACACTCTATACTTCCTCACTTGCTCCATTTTCCCTGTGTTGCTCATCATAAAGTCTAATTCTTACGATACGTATTCGCGACAAAATAATAATAATAAAAATGACGAGTTTTTTCACCTCCCGTGGATATTGTGTTTATACTCGAGGTGTAAAAGTTTTGCAAGCGTATCGATTTTTATGCCAAATCAGGTTATTGCACACCGTAATATGCACCTTTTCAATGCGTAAATTATCGACAGCGCCACGTATTTCCAAGAATAGTTTGCTTTTCAGGATTTTCCGGCAAAGAAAAACCTGCCCGTCGCATTATTATTTTTTTTTAATGTACACGACGTGAAAATTCAAAAAAGCTGCTTTCGAACGATTCTTTGAGAAAAGTATGAAAGCAAATTTCACAAAATCGATTTAAAAAAAAAAACTCCCTTAACAAATTGATTTTGTAATTTTTATTTCGCGTTTGTCGACTTTCTTCCGAAAGGTTCGTTAAAGACAAATCGAGATCTTATGCAACGACACGAGGAATAAAAAGGAAGGAATTTTATTGCAGCGAATAAAAGAAAGCGCACTCGCGAGTATATTACAAAACGCAGCTCTCCCAAAAAGCTTGCATTTCGATTTTTTGCTTCTCCTTCTCTCTCGGCGGCAATGTCAAGAACAGCCAAAGTATTGCGCACTGTACGCGCAAGTTTGGTGGAGCAAATCAGCTTCTTATCCTCGAGGGCCGGATTCCATTTGCGAGTTCGAGCTCTTACATACGTAGCTCCATTGTAAATACACGTCGATCTTTTTCGGAAACATGAAAATTCCCAGTCGGAATTCCGTGCTGCATGCTGATAAAAATTAATTTTTTTTTCTTCGGCTTTTGAATGCTCCCCGTGCCCGATTGACTTTTTACCTTTAAAGTGAGGCGCTTAATGAGGTTATGCTTACGCTCGCGCTTGTGCCAGTCTTTTACTACCTTTTAACAGAGCTCAAGAAGAAAGAGAAGGATGAAAGGGAGAGAGAGAGAGAGAGTCTCTTACTTTCCCAGCTACTACCGTAATAAGCATCGTCTTGAAAGCCCTTAAAAGAAAAGTTAAATACCCCACTCGAACTCTATACCCCGAACATAACTAAATAATCGTCACGAGCCATTTGATTTTTGGACTTTCAAAATTGCCAATAAAATTCAAAATTTATCGGAATGGAATGAAAATTCAATATTGAGTTTGAAAATACGAAAAGAAAAGGAAAAAATGTACAATCTCATTGTTAGCTCCGTTCGAATTGATTGTATTTTTTCTTTCTTATAAGCTGACGTTTCGATCGATATTTTCGAGTAATAAAAAGGCAAAATTTATGCACGGGGTAAGGCGTTTGTTTGCGAATAGACCAACGACAAATTGCTACGATTTGGCGAGATTTTTCTCGGTCGCTATTCCTCGTAAAGCTTCACACTGCAGATTTAACTTTTCGCGCTCACGGGTACATGGCAATTTTACTGAAAAATGAACGTTTATACTAATGGCGCGTAGCGATTATTATACCTCTAATACATAACGAGTATGTGTGGCACGGGAGCGATCCGAGTCCGCGCACAGCTGCTGCCAAGGATTATCCCGATCATTATCTCCTTAATTAAAATCGATACCCTCGACGCAGCAGTTTCTCTCCCATCGTGAACCTATTTTCTCTCCTCTCCCTAAAAGCGCACGGCTGCCACTGAAAATGTGTAATCGCGCTCGCCTCTTAATAGGCTACTGAAAGTTTATCCTTTCCATGCTCTCTCTCTCTCTTCTTTTTTTGCTCTGAAAATAGCGGGTTTGCGGTATACGCACTTGATAAGGATACGAGTCTCGCCAACACGAGCCACGAGTACGTATTTATTTTCCTCTCGCGTTCACCTTGACGCCAAAGCCGCACAGCTCGTGCACAGAGCGATTCAGCCATTCGTCAATGGAGCTCGAAATCGATCGCACACGGCTAGCGCACTAGTAAAAAAAGAAAACAGAATATAGAGCTTTATCTTCTGCTGCAGCTTCTCTTGACATATTTCCCAATTTAGATGTTATCAGCAGACAGAAACAAGACCCGACGAGCTTTATTTTTTCGTTTGAATGTCGCGCAAGCCGAGCCCGGACGCGATATCTCTCGCTTGTTTTATAGGCTCGTAAATGGCGAGTGTTTTCTCCTCCCTGTAATGGTCTTTTTTGCTCTAACGAATAACGACGACATCGATAACGCGCAAAATTAAATCCAATGAAAATCCCGTGCTTGATTGTATGTCAATTAATTTGGCTATATTGTTGTTATACACACCAGGTAAAATTTGCGATGCTACTATATTAGAAACAAATTGCCGCGACATTTCGAGCGTAAAAAAGCTATTGGAACAGCAATATCGATTGATGGATTAACGTCGAAAAATTACGGCTACGCTTCGTCTCTTCTGCGACCTAATCACAATTTACGGGCGTATTTATTTTGTCGTACATACACATACGAGTCCGGAGTGCATCTCATTTTATGCATATATATCTTTATATGCGAACTCAAGAATGTATATAATTATAATCGGTTTGGAGCCAATCCTCTCTGTGTGCGACAGCATAAATTATAGCACACCGAGGGCAAAGTTAAGTCAATATAAACATAGTCGGGTCACATTACAAAAATATTGAGCTAACGAATTCTCAACAACATATTCGAGTTCTTGGTTTATTCATCTTTCTCAGTCCAAAGATCCGACTTTTGAATATCGTGAAATAAAAGCACTCGAGTTTATTCTTGATTATGTAAAATCGAGCTCCCTCGTATAAGCACGGCGAGCTTTTATGCTATAGCCTGGGCTGTACAATCGCGACATTATTATCGGTTTTATCGAATGCGCGTAAATTTTCTTCAATGTATCGCATGTACACGAGGGCTTTACAATACGATTATTGGCAAATTAAACGTTCAGGTGGTTGGATGGATATAGCTGATATATTCTCGTTACAGGAAATGTTAAGCTTACTTTTCTTACTAAAAGGGTTAAACTTTTTTTTTAAAATACTTGCAATCACGAATTTATCTGACCAAAAGATAGAGCTATTGTCTTTCCCTCTTCGTGATATAACACACTAAAAAATTCCTGTATTCAATGTTATTTCAAATGAATTACTCGAACTGAGCTAAAAAAATACACACAAAATCAAACAAGTTCATCGGCGATCAAACATGCCGAATTTTTTATCGAATTAAAATAAAATTTTTAAAAAATGGAAAAAAATTTGCATTTTATTATTCATTGAAATGCTCTTTTGTACACTTGAATTTCCCAAAAAGCCACTCAATCCTTTCAATCATTACAAAAGTACTGAAAAAAAAATTTAGATATTCATATAATTCGGAGAAAATCTTGTGAAACTTTTTTATTAGTATTTATCGACGATATATTGCATTATAATTCATAACAACTTACCATTGCCGGTGGCTGTCATGAGGCCCGATCCAATTTGTTTGAGTTTGGTAAAAGTTTGGCCGCTGACCTCCGATGCTACGGCACTTGGACCTCCGGTCTCGGGTTGTGTGGTCACCATCTGCAAAAATGACTTATATCAATAATTTGTTTTCTTCATTTTGGTAACAAAACATTGGAAAATATTTTTTTTATAACAATTAAAAATGTTGGTGTGAAAAGCTTGGCAAAAATTAATGCTAGGATTTTTTTTCTATCGTATAAATTGTATAAATTTCCAAATAGATAAAAATAGTTTACTGCAAGAATATAGGGTAAACCTGCTGTATTCAACTTGTGAAAAATACTCACTTTGTTCACTTTAGTTAGCGGTAGAATGGGATATGCTCACACTTGATAAAAAAGCGGTTAATAATTCTCAAGATATGATTTAAGCAAAAAAATGTGAATCGGCTAGATGACGATCACACTACTGAACTATCTATCAACGTCATGAATTTAGAACTAGTTTATATTTTCATTTTAGAGGACTGAAAGCCTTATAAATAAACATGTTTTGAAATGCATAACGAACATATTTTCGTTCTTGAAAATTGAATTAAAACGGATACATGAAAATGATTAAATTTTATTGTAGATGGTCGAATACTAGACTATTCGACCAAGGTGGAGTTTTAGAGCAAATATAAAAAAAATAAAAGGCGTTTTTGCGCTCAGTGTATGCAAATATCATTTTTTGATACCAATGAAAGGTAAAATGCCCCGTATTTGTATGCAATATTATATTCGTTACGTAAGTACTAATTGCTTTAAAATTTGTATGCAACACGCGATCAACTATCCTGCATACACTGAGTGCAAAAACGTTTTTTGGACACTTGTTGGATAAATAACTAATAATCATTATTTAATAATAGCTCACGGAGGTTGATTAATAGAGGGTAATCAAACACTAGTGGGTTTACACTATAGTTATATTGTGTAATTTAAAAACAAAGAAAGATACATTTTTGGCTGGGCGAGGTATAAATTCAATGGCGTATGTCGCAACGGCCCTGAAAAGAGTCCCTGGTAATTAATGTATTAGGCATTAGTTCTGTACATAAGTGCATGATACGTTAGTAAGTGTGATTGTGTTTGTTTGAGGTTCAATGAGCAAATGTATACACAAATATGTACATTCTGATATCTTACGAGCAGTAAATTTGACCGGATGGGTTCATTTGCGCAATGGCAAATTTTCGTCTATTGTTAGCTACTTATGATCAAGCTATATCAATGACGTTTGATTGCATCTTCAGAATGAATTATTGGAAAAATATATTAAAATGGATGTGTGAGCCCGTGAGTCCCGAGAAACTTTTTCGATTTTTACTTTCAACGAAGTGATTTTATTGTGAATGTAAGTTATTTTATAAATATATTTTTGACCCTTTTAAATAATTATAAAATTGTTCTCAAACAAAATTGCCTATCTTTACTCGAAAGTAGAGAATAGATGGAAAATACAGTCGATTTTTGTCATGTTTCGCCAGCCAGGGCAACTTGTAAATCACCTCTGGGAAAATGCAAAAAGCAGCTATCGATACGAAGAGGCAGACAGAGTGTTCCGCGCTATAAGCTCTACTCCTCGATTTAGGAATTCTCGAGTGCAGCGTAGTACAGCCAATTAGATATCTATACCTAGAGCTGCACACAGGCGCGCATACAAACGCAGTCATTGTTATGCGCATTGTAACTGCTGCACTCGACACTCGGCCGCAACGTCGACGACGACGACAAGCCGCTCTCTCACATACACCGGAATGTATATCTGCAGACCTCTTGATATAACTCGTTGCGGCTCTGTGTCTTATATATATACTCGTGACAGAGATGAGCCCCAGAGAAAATGTGTGTTTGATGGAGCCGTAAATCGAAATTTCCTTATTTTCAAGTTCTTACTCTTAATATCACGTTTTCATGTGAATTTCTTCTCACGATTAAGTAATATAAATCAATATGAAGTCAGTCTCTGCGTATTCGTCGGAATTAATTTTCAAGTCTTTAAAAATATTAAAAATATATCGCTCGTTAAAATATTTACCAAACATCCAACATTTAATGTAAAATATTTATATCATTAACATTTATTCAAACAGCAAATAGTATAGGAAAATTTCGGAGAAGCCTCTAAAAGTAAAACGCAAAATTTAGTCGTCAACACTCAGATTTAATATTTAACAAAAGAACTTATTCAATATTTTTGTTCATCTTAACGCGTGCTTGAACAAAGAAAGCAGGCGTTTGAAATTTCACGTTAATTTGTAAAAAGAAACAAAGAAATATCATCAATACATTAAGCAAACTATTTTTGATAGTAGAATGAACACGATAAATGTCCACATTTGTCATAAAAAATAAAATGTAATTCAGTCAGATGCAAGTCAATCACCGCGATATCTTAGCCAGTGCTTACGAATAAGAAAAAAAGACTCGATTACGCACGCAAGAAGAATGCGCAATCTTGACTCTCCTTTATGTACACAGGTGAAGATTTGCTCATTCATAAAAATACCGTATGCTGAAAGAGAATCGATGTTTTTTGCAAACGAGCTCGCAGCAGCTGCATATCATGAATCCAAATTTTCTTCACGTACCGCCAGAGAGTAAAAGAGCGAGAGAAAAAAATCGAGCAGAAAAAAATCACCGCAGATCGATGTTTGGCTTCATCCTTTATATTCTTTTACCACTGCGCTTGTGTACTCGAAGCGTTTTTCTATGATATACCCGATAAATTAAAATTTTACAACTTTGACATACAGAAGAGCGCGTGCGGAGGCAGTTAAATTTCATAGCTCCGCTGCTTATCATGCAAATCCTCAACGTTTAATAAAAAAGCCGCTTTTTCCTACTTTCACTGCATTATTAGGTAAATGCAAGGAAAAAGGGTTTCGCTTGTAGCTGAAGAGGTCCAAAGACACATAACAAAAGTAAAAAAAAAAAAGCACACGAGCTCGTGCTACCCGCAGTGACGTTCTACATTACACGCGCGCGCGTGCGCGCGCTCAGAGGTCTGGAAACTGAAATTTTGTGTTTACATTAAGCGTCCTTTATATTTATCCAAAGCATTACGTACTCTGGATGCTTGTGGCGAGTAAATGAAGCTCGAATATGAGATTCTCTCTCCGTTCGCCCGTAATGAGAGGCAAATGAAATTTTTACGCGATTTCTGCCTTTGAAAAACTTTGGAAAATGTAACTTTAACGAGTTGTACACACGCGCGTAAATCGACGACACAACAGAGCCAGTCCTATACTTGCTTGATGTAAAATCAGCAAACAGCAAACTTAACCCAGGCTACAAACACTTGGCAATTAGAGAGCAGTCGCGTGTGCGCGCTTGTTGAAACTCGCTGAAATACTACTGCTGCAATTTGCATGCGTTGCCTGCAGATGAGCAGGACCCTGCCAAAAAGCCGAGCAAATTTTTGACTAAACATTGACATTTGTCCATTTTGAAGACAATGTTTGACCAGCGACTTTTGACCATTGTCAAAGAAGGCACTAGAGGCTTGCTCAAATATATGACGTATGGAAGGTGTTACTTGTCAAATCTCTCGTCGCTCGTACCGGCTGTAAATTTAAAAGCCTCTTTTTTACTGCGCTTTTACCGTACTTTTACAACCCGATGACGTGGAAATGTCGCGTCTTTTCGAGTTGAGAAACTTGCTGTGTAACCCGTAATGCAGGTAGAGTTTTCAGTTTTTCCCCTCCGATCGAAGTCGTTTGTGCTTTCTGTTTTTATGTAGCGAAAAATATGTACGACGAGAATAACAGTACCGAGCCGTGAAAAGCAGACCACGATCGAGTAATTTTTAAAAAAAATTCGCAAGTCTCGGAAAAGGTACAATATGTACTATAGCATGCTAAAATGAAACGGCTATGGAACAATCTCGATAATACCTTCAATTCCTTTTTTTCCTCTGTTACTGTTGGGGTGGCAAGAATAAAGCGGAAAAAAAGTTCCATGTACCAGATAGGCGAAAAGAAAGGGAAAAAGGTACGAAACCGATAACAAATGAGTGTTCTCGAAATTACTATCCGCCGCGAAGAATTCAAATAAAGGAAGCGATACGTAGGGGGTTAAAGAAGTTGTGTAGCTATATATCGTCGTCGGAAAAGTTAAGAAAACAAGGCCAGCAGTGGCAGGCCGACTTTGATCGAAATATATACGCGCAAAAGAAAAAACAAACGCTTTTTTTAGAGCATGCATAGTGAATATTTATCGGAAAAGAAGGAGTAAATGTCGATGAAGTACAAATAAAGGAAATGAGCTGAATTCCTGAACAAAGCGTCAGGTTTTGGGATACTGCTGGAATTCAGATGGAAAAGGACGATTTTCATCGATTCGGCCGTTGCCTCGCGTACGCAGCATGTCCGAGTTGAAATATTACTCGAGCACGGGAGCATATACGGTTGACGCTTTGTTACGGTCAAATGAAACGGATGTCCTAGGCTAAGATTATACTTTATTCGCGATAATGGAGCTTTCGAGCTATTTAATAATGTTGAGTTTTACCAAATTTTACCAAGTTGAGAGTCGCGGTGACTCGAGCTGGCGAACCACCTCCGCAATAATTGATCGCGAAAGAAGATATTCTGGGCATTTCTAAACCCTTCTGAAGTATGAATTTTCACGAGCACACGCGCTCGTTCGAGATATACGCTTCCATCGAGTTATCGTTGTAATTGGAAAAATGTAGATTTTGCCAAGTACGTAATGAAATTTCCCCTCATTACTAGAATTGCTTAACGTAACTCGTTCGCTTCGATTTTTCCTTCTTTTTTCTTCTTTTTTTTCATTTTCAGCCAAGTCACGTCATCGTTTGATATAGGAAGAGTGAAAAAAAGTAAAAGGGAACAAAGTACAGGCGGCTCGATGAGAAAAAATTTGTACCAGCCGTTCGATCATGGGATTGTATTTCAGTCCAGCAAACGAAAAATATTCAAGCAGATAATTTTTTTCCCTCTGCAGCTGTATGATCGCGAGCCTCGCGCGCAAAACTCGGTGAGCTTCTTCGAGAACAGCAAGAGGTACAGCGGCACGTAAAGCTCAATGGCATAGAAATTACGAGTCTATTCGAAATACGGCGGGCATATCGTACGTACGCTTACGCGCGCGACTACGTGATCCTCGAGATCATGCTTGTCGCTCTTCATTCAGACTGCAGAATTATGTGCTTTGCATTTCGTTACATATCTCGCCTAGAAAAAGAAACGGCGTCTAATTCAATATTAAAGTAAAGGGAGCTGTAGAAAAAAAATGTATACGTCGCGCTGCTTTGCTATATACGAACACAAAATGAATAAAAGAAAGAAGAAATGGATTCGTGTATGTTCATAGGCGAGTCGAGAGATATCGTTGCTACGCCGCTGCGCACGGCAGATAGTAATTCAAATAATCTGCTGTATTTATAAGAGTCGGCCCGAGAAGAATCCAACAATAAACGCCCTTCGGTCTATAACGCGAGGAGCTGCTGCAGCGACGCACGCAGAGACCGATAGTCGAAGGAAATAACTCGATCAGCCGAGTGTAAAATCGAACGCTATTGCTGCTCCCGACGCTGCGTCGCTGCTGGTGTTGTACACATGGAACGTGGACGAGGACGGAAGAAGGAGATTTCCTTACGGCGCACACATCTCCTTCGGTCAGGGTCAAGACGTCAGCGAGCGAGCGAGCGAGCGAGCGAGAGCGCGCGCGCACCAGCATTGCCGCCACTGTGCAGCGTATTTATATACGCGATTGGAATTACAGCGGCTCTTAAACGAGTCCTTATCGATATAAACATCGCAGCTGCGAATGTTGAGTAGATTTTTTTTTTGGAGAGAGAAAAGGCGACGAGTTGGGTATATCGATTGCGCGTCCTCACTGGACGTCCACTGTAGTAGACAGTGCGAGCAGTATAGTAGCTTTACACGCTGCGAATCACGTAGACACAAGCGAGTGTGTAAGACTGACCTTTTTGAGGAAGGACGCGACGTTGGTGGGCAGCATGTTGACGTCACAGGTGGGCTTCCGCTACTCTCAGTGATGCCGCCGCTTCACACTGAGGGCATGTGTAACCTACGCTCACGTGCGTAGTAGCGCGTCGAAAGTACCTCCGCTGTTGTAGTCGATGTGGCTGTTGCTGCTGGCTCTCTTATTGTTCGCACCTTGTCTACTCCAGCCGGTGCTGGGGCTGCTGGTGCTGCTACTACTGCTGTTGACGTCAGGCGATGCCGTTGCGACGTCGTCGGCAGAGTACCTTAAACCTCGCATGGCCCTCGCCTGAGATTCCCTCGATTAATGGATGAACGGCGGCTGACACCTGCAACATAAAATACGACACTGCGTTGATTCGAGAGAAACTGAGCAATTATTCAAGGCTGCACACGCACTCTGCGCCTCGCGCGTCGTCATCCGACGACCAACTATTTCACGGTCGCGCTGAAAAATTACGAAATGCCGCGCTTTCGATGAATATTGCGACTATCAATGCCACCGAGTAGCGATTTTCGCATTCTCCAACCAACGACGAGCATTATACGCGCCTACTTCTATTCCATTATAGAGTCGAGAAAATTCTTCCCTCAGCCTCGTACGCGTTTACTTTCGCCTGCGTATATCAGCGCTCTTTTCCTTATTTACTGCTGTCCTTCTCTTTTTTCGAGATGACGACGAAGAAAGGATAAAACTTGACAGATGCAATAATTTCTTTACAAAAAGCATTCTCTATAATTTTCGTGTTCCATTCGACTCGTGAAAACAAAGACGTTTACCAGGGCTACAGCTGCGTTTTATATCATGGCGCGGATGAATAATATTTTTTGTGGATCCCAAGCAACTAGCCGTAAAATTATGGAGCTTCACAGCTGGCAATTTCATCACAAAACGACCGCTAGGTATTACAAGAGTACAGCGAGAAAAGTAGCAGAGAGAGTGATGTATATGGCCAAAGAAGAAAGTTAGACCGAAAACAACTGCATATTCCCCTCTTTACAGCCTCACCTAGTCAGTAACAAAGTAATCAAGGTTTTATGTTATTAAAAATTAGTGGCGAGAGAGCAAACTTTCGTCGTAAACTTTACTTATACACCAAAACTTACTGTGCTTACGCTAGTGCGGGCTTACGGAAATATTTATCGATAAGTATATCATGCGATAAAATAAAATAACACCATAGAAAACAAATTTTAATATCCTACGCAAATTTTCCTAATGAAATTATCGAATGTAATTTATAATTTCATTAAAAAATTACCGTGCCTTTCTTCATGCTTATTTTGATCGCTAAAACAAATGCTTTTCTGGAGTTTAAAAAAATTTTCATATTTGTAATCGATATTTCGCTTCTAGACCACCAGCAGCGCTGAAGCAGAGCAAATTACACGATAATTTTTTATGTATACAAAAAAAGGAAACATTAAAGCCTCAACGGGTGGTTGGGTATTATCATCTTCTTTTTTTTTTAGGTAACGATGTTAGGAGTGTCGTAACAAAAAAAAATGTATGCCACACTAGCTAATAACTTTGAAAAAATTTCAATTAAAAATTCTCGTCTAATTTTTATGATAATTCACGGAAAAATATTACTCCCAAAGTTTAACGATAAATTTATTCGCAAGATTAACTTTTAGAATTAGAATGTGAAAAGCAACAAGTTTGATTTGGCACGCAAAACTACAGTCAAGCTCTACCTGTATGATAGTGTTGAACAAAACTATACATACATAGAGATGAGCATATAAAAATGCCTTCCAGTAGTAGCAACAGTATATACTCGCTCAGGAAATTCAATTGAGTTTATCCGAGAAAGAAGGAAATAAAACCCAGCCTCGATTTTTCAAAGTCTCTCGTAGTGCCTGAATTCAATGTGTACGTAGTATGACGCTTGTCTCAAGCAGGAACAAGTTAATGAGTTCTAACATTTTACTGATTTTTTAGAAAAAAAATTTTTTATTTTCAAATAAACTCTTGGAATATTGCTAGTGAAACAATGTGCCATAAAACAAGTTTGAGCATATTACCTGTCTTAAATAGTCAAAGGGCAAAGCTTTTTTGAGTCAAAAATGTTTATTTGGTTCAATACAACCTTCTATACTTACTAAAAAATTCTTTTTTCTATCAACTATATCGATTACGGTTATTGAACCTTCAACTGCTCCTAAAAGCTATAGGTTATTATTAGAGCTTCAAATCGTACTTAATTTTCCCATAATCAAATAAACTTTCCATCATTTATTAAAACGCATACATTCTAAATCGTGAACCGAGGGCTGCAGCCAACAGGCAAATTACAAAGTTCACAAACAAGACTTTAGCTGAAGCGTCCGTCTTTAGGAATAGCAAATATTTTGGTAGTGAACATTTATATATTTGATGTTGTAGGTAGAGATTTTAGAAGATTGTTTGATACATTAATATTTATCAACGAAACCTGGAACAAAGCAATCGAATGTTTCACTCTGGAAAAGTAAAGTTTTATAAGAGTATTTCCTTGATATAAATAATCAATAACACTTCAGGGCTTGTGCCAAGCCACTTATAATATGAGTTCGATTATATCACAAGTGGTTCCTTTGATAATCATTCATATACCGAACAATCTCCAGAATTTTGTACGAGTGATATGCAAGTGATACAACATGTTTGACTCGAAACGGGCAACACTTTAAGAATATTTTATCACGAAATAAAAAAAGTTAGCTTCTACGCTTATATTCATCTCATTCATGTTGTATTTACACATAATTCAAATAAGCAAATTCAATAAAAACTCATTCCAACTTTGATTAAGAAGTCTTTTAAAAAATCCTGAAAAAATTTTGTTTACTACGTTTAATCTACTATTTATGAGATCTGTGTATCTGTATATACTCGAAAGTGTACATCAAACTCAAAGTTTCTCTCGTTTCAAAACTACTCTTTAAATGTTTGAAGTTTGTCGCTGATTTGCACGCATCCAATTTCATTTCATCCTCTTTGTACGCGTGCACTTCAGATGTTTATTAATAAGTTTACTCCAAGATCACATTTCTTACGTATTGTCGAAATCTCTATAACTCATTATACAATTTATACTTGGAAAAAGATTTAATCAATCCTTGTGTTCAATCGATTATTTCGATGCTTTTTTTCCTTTTTAAAACTTATCTATATTTTAAGAACAATACTTTCTTTTTTGTTCGTTTCGTATGATTTTATAAAAAGCATAACAATCATACCTAACAATACTCGGATTGGCTCGTTGAAATCTAATTTACGAAAGCTTCCGTAATTTATCAAGTCTGTGCCGCGTGTAAAATGAGCTAATCTTCAATCAATCGTTAAGGATCAGTAAATTGATGAAATTCATAATGCATTATCCTTCAGATTGCGTCAATTTCATAATGCAATTAAATTGATGTAATTTTATTCGTCATTCAATAACAATGTTAATGGGAAGGATACTTTTCATTCTTATAAATTTACAGATTGATTTAAAATCTACGCGATAAAATAAATGCATTGCCTCTGTAGTCCAACGTGGAAAGGCTCAAGGCTTTGAAATATTTCGTTGTGGCACTAACTCGGCGTACAAAGTTCAATCATAGTTGCCACTATCGGAAACATGATTTGCGTGTAAGTTGATCCTGTTATAACGCAACATAATCTGTTTACTCCTGCTAGCCTGTAACCGTAGGCGATTTTCGTGTTGTGTGACTCAGAGTATGCACCGCTGGTCGGTGTACGGTATGAATATATCTGTACTTTCGGCACGAGTACATTTTCTAGGACATTAGTGCAGCGACGAGGAAGGAACAACAAATTATCGAGTTGAAATTGCAATATCGAATAAAGAAAAGTCATTAATTTCCCCTTGATAATTTACAGCTTCATAAAAAATTTAGTTCAAAATTGGTTGCTTCGATTCGACATCCAATTTCGATATTCTTCTTTTCTCTAGTTACTGGATGTGACTCGAAGAGAATAACGTGAAAACGTACTCTTAGACGTACCGAATAAATCAAGCTCGAATCCATCTTATCATATACTCTGAATCGATATTCATTCTCCTTTTTTGCCACAAAATAAGGTTCGCTTTTACATTTCACGCGAACGGCGTGTACTTTATCTATTCAAATTTAAAACCCAAATTTTTACTCCGCTGATTTTGAACAGAAATTGAAGCCTTTCAACCGGGCTTGAATCTGAATTCCATAGGTAAAAATGTGAAAATACCATTAACCATCCTAACAAAGTTCGGATGTAAAGAGCTCAATTTAATTAGCCTCCAAACGACTCCGTTGTGTACCTCCTCAAAACTCCAGTTTCCCTAATGCGAATGTCTTCTCAACCACAAACAATGCCAAAACAATCTTAGCTCGAGAAACTATAATAAGTAATTCACCTTGTACGTTCCATTGTATTATTGATTTTAGAGAGAGAGAACAACTTTTAACTTTTAGCAAAAGTAAACGAAAGCTCAAGGAAGCGAATCAGGTTGACACAGAGCATCAACTCTCTCTGATTTAAAGCCTCGCGAGCAAATATACAATGGTTGAAAATGATTACAATGGAATTAATTTTAACGCACTCACGCAACAACGCATCGGTGATACAACTCTTTGCGTTGCAAAGTAAATTATCAATTTGAGGAAGTACTGAACCTTCTTTTCATCAATCCAACTTGAATGAAAATTAAAAAAGTCACTCAGATCAATCGATAAAATAATAAAGCAACATCGTCAGCAGCTGCAGCGGGAGAGAAAGAAAATTGAATGAAAAATAATTGTCGGACAAAAAAAAATCGCTCGCGATACATTAACTCGATTAATTCTACATAGACACTTGAAAATTATTAACTTACTGAACGTAGCAAAAGCGCCCATGTGCATTCGATCTTGCCTTCAAAAGTTTTGTCGAGCTCAATTCTGAAAGCATCCAATACAACATATTATACACTGCTTCGACGCAAAATGCATAATAATAACCCACACGTACGCAGAGAGTTTTCCTCTCTGTGTTGGTGTGCGTGTATATCTGACGTCAACCTTTATACAAGTTCTATGCTGATGATGTATATTATGAAACAGCACGCGGTAATCTAATATGTTCCATTTTGGATGAATGAATACCTCGCGAGCTTAGTAAATAGCTTGACTCTTGTCGATTGCCAATGCACAAGCATTTCAGATATGATAACGTCCCAACGACCCAGTCATAATATTGACATTTTGGTCTAAAGCTTTCGCGTAAAAAAGCTCTAATTTGTAATTGTGTATAATAATTGGGAAAAGCAACAAGTCTTTATGCATTGTAATTAATTATTGTAATTAATTATTCTATATCCATAGCATACTTTGAATGTTTTCATTGTCCATGTGAGTCATATTCACCTTTTAGAATGATAAATTTAGGAATTATCAATTTTTGTAATGTGTAAAATTCAAAATTTTTAGTGTAAATTCCCATCAAGCTTGATCGAAAAATCGATTTTTTATTGTAGTATTTTCTCATTGCCTATTTAACTGAATTACAATACAACTACTTTAAAGGGTATTCATTTAAAAAAGCAGAAACATTTTAAGTTTCCAATTTTTAATTTTTCCGATATTATTGATCTCTGAAATCACAGTTTTCGAAAATTTGTCATGTTTCGTTTTCACTATTTCGATTTCGGAAAATTCCAAATTGTAAATTCTCTGAAAATTGATACTTCCTCATAGGTATTTATCATGCCAAAATGTGAACATGGCTCGTATTCTACATACTTCGGACAGAAGTGCGCATTGATTTTCAGTTCAAATAATGCTCTACAGAGAAAGTTCGATAACAGATTTGGTTTTGAGTGCATAACAATCAAAAGAGCCCGCCAGCCAACTCACGTTTCCAAGCGTCTACGCACTGAACTGCACTGCCAAAACCCTTGGAGCATTTTGCGTTTGCTGAAAGAGCTACATTAAAAAAAAAAAAAAACAATTACTTCGATAACTTTAGCTTATGAAATTCCTGTACAGATTTTAAACAAGGAAGAATAGCAGCTGAGAGGGTGCACCTTAGAGAAAAAAGATAAAACGCCACAAGATTGATAAACCATTCTTATCTAAGTTTTTAAGCACTTTTCTTGCAATTTTTGATCATGTAAAATATGTTTTTACGTATGTTAGAACCATTCAAAGCCCTTTGTATTAAAAATAAATATGATTTTTAGCCTTCGAATTATTTATTAACACTTGATCCAAATATAAGAAAGTGATTTCCATCGTCTGACTTACGATAAAACAGCTATTTACAGTTTTGCAATGCAACTTTATTTTGTGGCAAGAAACCGCAGTCCAAAAAAGTATTTAATTAAGTTTAAAACATACACAAAATGATCAATTTTAAAATTCATCGCTCGTTACGCAACTAACTTCAAGACTTATAATAACAGTCAATTGAAAACCTAATAAGGTTTCCACACAGAACTTTTTGCATCACTTTTTTAAAAAAGCATGATCACCTCATTGTCGTAGACAAATATGGTTTAACGTATGAAATTGATTTTTATTTTATTTATTCAAATGGCTTTTATCAATACGTGAATAATATAATCTTTTCAAAAAACGAAAAAAATCTATGTGTGAACTCGCTCAATGGCAGGCCACCTGTAGCCATTGATCAAAGCACACCAACGCATCATGCGATGAGACTGAACATGCCTGTACTTGGCATATATTTTTCCATCTCTATACATCATCTAAAATTAAAAGTATTGGAAGAATTTCTAGATGAACGGCAGGAAACGCGAATGATGCTTTAAAGGAATTTATTTCTTATGTATGATCCGTTCTTCGACTACTCCGAATATGGCCAAGTAAATAAATCGATAATTTTATATTCCTTTCACATTTTCACTCTTTTGCAATTGAAAATATTGGAATAGTTCAATTAAAGTTTGTAATATTAATTTTCTTGAGCATCTTTTGTATTATAATATGATTTTAAAAGTTTATCTAAAATACTATTTATTATTTGTAACCAAAGTACTAATTATTTGAAAACATTGAATTATATTTTAAGGTATATTAGAGAAAGAAAATAAGAAGCCAAAAATGTTAAAAAAGTTTTATTAGATTTATATTACTTTCTTTGAAATTACTGCGTAGATTTTTAGAAAATAAAACCCAAAAAAATAATTCAGTTAAGTATTCAATTTAATACAGTTGATTAAAATTTTAATTATTTTTTTTTAATTGTATTATTAACGCTACGAACTATTAAGAACTTTTACTTAATCTATGTATAAATAAATATTAATTTTCCAATAATACTATAGTTTTATGATCACGAGTAGAAAGCTGAGTATATTTTCTTTTAATATTGGTGTGTAATTCCATAACATTCTTATATAAATCCAGAAAAATGTAAAGTAAGAAAAAAAGGTATAAAAGTGAACTTATCCCCCATGTATTTAATAAGCTGAAAATTATGTCCTAATTTAGCAATATCTCTTACGCTGGCACACGAAGCAAAGTTAGCATTTACAAAACATCGTTAGCAGAAAAAAATGGGTAAAAAATTATTTTGCTAAGCCATACCGACAATATTTTTATTAGTTATAGAGACAGCTTGATGTATCAATTGACACTTGTCACGCGCGTCGTTCGATAGTCAGCACTATAAAAACAGTATTCTTGCAACCTATCTTGTGTTAATTTATATTGTTCTCTCCAAAGGTGTCCATTTGAATCTATAAACTTGATGTAATAGATATTGACGCTTTCATACTCAATCTACAAAATAGAAAATGAAATAAATATGCATTGGGTACAAAATACAATAAACTGAAAAAATTCATGTGCCATAAGACTTTTTTTCCACTTTACATAGGAGATTTTATTTCATGTCAAATGAATCTTTAGCTATCACAACACGTGAAAAAAAATTTTCTTGACATGATAGTCTATTTTTTTTTAGAGAGTAAAAATTCTATATTTGTAAATCTACGAGTACGTTTCAATTTTTTACCTCTCCACTCCTAAATAAATTTCTAAAAAGTTACATGGGTATAAAAATAAACAGCTTTTCCTTCAAATTTTTAGAAACAGCAGATGAGAAAACGTGCATAAGTATTACCATAGGAATCTTCCACTTTTATTACGTTTTAATATTCAAAGCATTTCAAAAAATTTCAATATTTTTGCTTATTCCAGTTTACATCATGCAATCGATTTATTGTAGTTAAGGTTATTACCACAGTAGATCTAAATTATGTTATATATCTTTAAATTCATATAAGATACTTTTATCTGCGCTTTATTTTTCTATACAACGCTTATCGACGTATGCTCAGCAACACAATCACCTCATACATGCATAAAATATATTCAAGCGGCTCTTGGGAGTATGTTTATAAGTACATACAAACTGCAAGATTTGAATAATTGAAGAGCATTCCTCCAACGAGTTTTATTCAGTTTTTCCTTTAAACCAACTTGTGGGTCCAATTTTTGAAATCGACAACTACTATGCGCATGACAAGTGAAAAAATCCTGAAAATTACCTGTATAATAATAAAATTACTTAAGGTCTCTGTTTTCAATACAAACAATACTGGTGACACGCAAATTTCTCAAACACTGACTCTTGCTGACTAAAAACCTCACTTGTACACGAAAAATTTGACAAATCCAAACAAAAGTGTTCAGAAGCTTTTGTGGCTTTCTGAGTATATATACGTTTATCCGATATGAGAGCTACTGTACAGCCGAAGCCTACGGCTTTAAAAAGTAGAAAGTAAAAAAAAGTTCAAAGTGAGAAGAGAGACCAGCACAATATGTGTCTTTCACGCACACACCAGCAAGGTCAACGAGAAAAAATTTACTCCCTCGCGTGTTGAATATTTCATTGGACCGGGAGCTTCGTGAATATCATCGCGTATGTTTTTCAACGTTGAGCCATATCAATATTGAAGCATTCATTTTGTGTTTATTTTTTTTCGGTCTCTCTTATCCCTTACTTCTTTAAGGATCAGAATTTTTGAAAAGAGCAGTATATTAAATAGATTTTTCACCAATAAAGTAGTTCGTAAATTAAAAGGATTTAAAAATTAAATAAATTAAAAATTAGAACATCATTTTTCAAATGCATGATATAACATCGATCAAATTGCCTGGTTGCAGGAGTTATGTGTCACCCTATGAATGCACATGAGTTGCACAAAGAGTAAACATCAATAGAACGAAAAAACAGCTTGCTCGTACACCAATTTTTCATTTGAGCCTGTAATAATAAGTCAAGAAAAAATGATAAGTCTGCCATATCTGCGCACATACTATAATAGTGAGTTATAACCTCACTGTCCGACAAAATCGATCTTGTACTACTTGAAAAATTTCAATCGGAAAGCTATACGCCAGTCTTGAAATTTTTTCGAGTCAGCCACTTCTATTTAAGCAATATTTCTTTCCGTTTTTTCAAGGAAATATTTTGAATCATCGATAAACTATATTTGAACGAATTAAAAGTCAAAATATAACAGCAATTTTTTCAATGTAGACGATTATTGAACGAGACATTTTTCGCGCGGTGACAATTAATAAGAAACGTCTGATTAATCGAAGTACTAAGAAAAAAAGTAAGCGTTGATTTAGTTTGAAAAGAAAGAAGAATACATAGGAATGAAGAAAGGAAGAAATATAAAAAGTTGCCGAGTCTTGTATATCGACGTTTTTCTTTACTTTTCCGATAGTTTTCTCTCTCGTAAGAAAAGTCTGCGTGGAATATGAGTATAAGGTGTACGTTTGAATGCTAAGTTTGTGCGCGCGAAACACGAGTTTTTTTGCTGAGGAACTTTTCCGCGCGTGAAAGTAATATATCCGAAAAATAAACTTTCCTACGGTAAAGTACAGAGCAGGAAAAACGATCAAGCGAGCATATTTCACTCTGG